ATGCATGTTAGCTTCACGTAGTCCTCCCTGGATGTTCGTCTCCGGATCCCGAATCCTCTTATCCTACCAAATGTTGTATATAAGTTTACTATATCCTTCCATTCGGGAAATTCCATTCCCACCTCAATGGAAACTTTAGCATTCTTTGTCGGTGATAATGGAATGACAATTGACATATTGTTAGGCAAGTCATTTGATATGTCATCTTCCATTTCATCAGGTATTTCATTTCCTACTCCGACGTATTCCATTTCATTTGACACGCAATCATGACTGAAGTCAATATAATTAATTGGATCATCTTCCATATTGACCTTCATTGAAATAAACAAGTGACAATTATATAGTCAAATTCTATGAGATATAACTAAAAAACACAGTACAAATGGAATATTGCTTTCATATCATTTGGTACAATGGGTTAACTAGAGGGCTACGTTAACTAATTTACTTACTAATTTCAAAAGCAAGTATCATTTTAACTAGAAGGGTCTCCCTTTCTCATTCAATCCTCATCGAACACTTTCAATTTCAAAGTGTTGAAATAATTAATGCTCGGTTCTCGTGCATATGCAATTTTTCCTGCAACTCCAATCTTGAAGAACAAAAGTCGATAATAATTAATTCAATAGTGATTTTAACCTTGTGGTGTAATACTTGTCTATTACACCTTTAACATTTGGGCTCGTATTCCCTGAATTTACATTGGAATAAGACAAATTATGATACTTACTGTAGCCAAAAGTATTTTAAGTTCAAAGTATTTTTTTAAGTTTCTTATAGTTCATGAATCAGTGACTCTTTGACAATTCAATTTGATATTGCCACACCAACACCAATTTACTATTTATCTTAGAATAATGTTCGAAGTTCTTAGAAGAAGCTAAAATATTTACCAGGGGCATGATGCTTGCCGGCATGCATTCCGGTGAAAAAGAGTTTTCCGCCTGAGTTTGTTGCTCCTCGCTGTCGTTCATGGAGAGCGATGAATGGTGACAAAAGAAATTTAAAAAAACAAAAGAAAGAAAAGCAACGATGAATAGAGGAATTTGGAGAGAGCAGGGAGTGTCTGTGCAGTTCCCAGACGTATAGAGAGAGAAAGGAGGTGAGTGATTGAGGGAAAAATTAGGATTATAAGGGATAAATATGAGCCATTAGATTAAAAGTTAATCTAATGGTTATAATTCAGTAGTAAAGGTAGTAAGATTAACAGGTAGTAAATATAACCCCTCCCCTAAAACATATCACTTGACATTATTTTTCTTAATCAAGTAAGAAACCACCATATTACATGTACGAATACATAGAGTTTATATTATTCTTATTCTCATTAAATTTTTTTAACTAAATAAAAATATAAGAAAAGTGTAGCAAAATCATTTCTCTATATAAAAAGTTACAACCATAAGAGAAAGATTTGTTACCCACCAAGGTTTGGATCAAGATCTAGGTCGTCTTTCTTTTTCACAGATCTAGTTCTAGACACATAGATACCTAACTCGTCCTCCCCACGCAATAAATTTGAAAAACTCATAAGACTATGTTTAAACACTTGAAGGGAGTGAGAAGGTTCGTTGCAATACCAATAAAATCAGCAATACCGCCATCAAGAAAAGGCCTATTTTGTTAAATATGTCATATTCAAGTTTTATATTTGAGAAATACGTTAAACTCGGGAAAAAAAAATTAATTTATTGTTTTTTTAATAAAAAAATCCGAATAAGTAATCATTTTGAAATTAATTACGAAAATATAGCAGTTAAACACGCCCTATAGGAGCGTGACCTGTTGGAGAGAGACACGCCCAATGTTGGACGTGACCGAGGAGAGAGACACACCCAATGTTAGGCGTGTTTCACCAGGTGTTGCCACGTGGCACAAAAACCAACAGTTTGACTGTAAAACTTTGGAAGTCCATAATTTTTGACTCGGATATCCGAATTAGGTAATTTTTTTTTTGAATCCACATAATTTTTCGAGATCTACGTAATGACACCTCATTTGGCATATTTTGTCTCTCACAAACAAAAATTGAATTTACAATAATGATACCATAAGAACGTTTAAACAAAAATTAATGGACAGAAAACCACTGTTATGATTAGAAACATTCATAATAAAGATCCTTATGATTATGGTAAGTTATGATAAGGTTAATTATGTATGTTATTGAGATATATATTAAAATTTTGAATGAAGAATTTTATGAAATTTATAATTAATAAAAGTTATCATCTGTCGGTGACAGAATATCGAATAATTTATATTAAAAAGTTAAGTGAGTGCTTTTTGTTTTATTTTGATTTTTAAGTTTTTGTTCATGATTATAAAAATGTTAGATTATTTTTAGTAATAATTATAAGGTAACAAAGTCATGTCATTTTTAATAATTATGGTATCATTGTTGTAAATTCAAATTTTTTTGTGAGAGACAAAATAGGTCAAATTAGGTGTCATTACGTAGATCTCGAAAAGTTATGTGGAATCAAATTTTTTTTACCTAATTCGGATACCCGAGTCCAAAGTTATGGACTTCTAAAGTTTTACGGTCAAATTATTGACTTTTGTGACACGTGCCAGCACCTGGTGAAACACGTCCAACATTGGGCGTGTCTCTCTCCTCGGTCACGCCCAACATTGGGCGTGTATCTCTCCAACTTGGTCACGCCCCATGTGAGCGTGAGTCACGCTTAGGTCACGCCCAACATTGGGCGTGTCTCTCTCCAACTGGTCACGCCCCTATAGGACGTGTTTGACTGCTATATTTTCGTAATTAATTTCAAAACGACTACTTATTCGTAATTTTTTATTAAAAAAACAAAAAATTAATTTTTTTTGCCCGTTAAACTCATTTAAGACAAAACTCAACCTTACATATATAGCTCATTTCTTTTCCCAAAGTCAAGTCACTTATGCAACGTTACCAAAGCTACTTGCATAGGTCTCGAACCTAATTAGCCGGAAACATAGTGGAATTTTGTTGTATCAAGGGATCAAGTGGATACATCGAGTGATATTATCAAACTATCAAGTGTAGTATCCAAATGTCTCCCAAAAAAGAGGGCATAAAAGTGTAGGAGATCCCTTCTAAATGGGAAGAAATGATATATGCTTATTAAAATTATTATCATTATAACTAATTGTTATCCAAAATGATGTTAAAATGATTGAGAGGGTATAATTTGTATTAGAAAAATCACTTCAACAATATTCACAGTATTATAAAATACACACCAAAAATTGAATCATACAATAACACAAAGTTGCAGTAAGGGAATATTTGAGGCCAGTGTTCATTGTGTCCTTAAGACAATAGTACCCTCTCTATGGTGCCCAAGATTGATGGACAACTATTTTCCAGGATAGAATGAATTATCGCTATTTTTGTGGCGACACTTCCATATTAAATAGTTTCATTGAACACAACCTATGCCTGATCAATTAGACTAGAATAGAAGAATGCAAATGCAAAAGAATGCAAAACACAAAAAACTCTACCTAAAATTTTGATTCTCTATTTATTTATAGAAAACGTTAAGTCTCGATTCAAAAAACACATATTCGTCGATGAAACAACACATTCGTTCGACACGAAAAGACACGTCCGTTCAATGAGAAAAAAACGCATTTTTCATATCAAATTTCTTATTCATAAACGTAATTAATTCAAACCTAATGTATTTATTTGAAACAGAGAAAAATATCCTCCACTACCATAGTGTACAACCGCCCCATTCCCACCTTTATCATTAACACACATTGTTACTAACATTAAAAACTTGATATCATTGCCTAATGCCTACAATTATAACTAGCCCTCCACTACTTAACCATTGTTATCATCATCACTATTATCACTTCCAATATTACCATAAATATGCTATGCTACCTTTGTGACTTCCATCCATTTTGTCATTGTGTAAATAGTTTTTACTCCACTTCTGTATTTGTTCCAATTTTTACTTCCACTATCACTATTTTACAATATAATCTAATTTGATCAGCTATTTTACCATAAAGAAGAAGATTGTTCCCCCGACCCATAATTTAAATAATTAATATTCTCAAATAATAGATACAGTATTTAAATTTTCTCATAATTTCATAATACATGATCAAATGATAGTATAATTTTTTGTACATTAATAATATATTGCAATTATATTTCTATAGATGTAAAAATAAAGACTCAAATAAACCATTTAACAATTGCATAGATTTAAATAAAAACTTTGAAGTTAAAATTATAAGAAAATTACAATAAAAATGAAACTTTCATAAAATTACGTACAAAAAATCAATTTTTTTTTCCTAAAAAAGCAAAGACATGAAAAATAAAAGTGAAAGATAAGGAATATGCCTTCAACTAAAGTCAAGGGCACCCAATTATCCTAAATCTTTTCCCACTAATTATTATGATGTTTCATTTTCATTTCCTTTTTTTTTCTCTCTTCATCTTTATGTCCAAAAAAGGTTGGGGTTTGCATATCTATCGTGTCACGTGACACAAAAAAGTTTGCTATACACACAACATTTTGTGGGGCACTTTTTGAAGCAAAAAAAAAAAATCTAAAACACGCAGAACGAATCTCTATAACATTATACAATCATTTTTCCTACAACATAACTCTTATAAAACTCAAAAAAGTTTGGTATTTTTTTTTGTTTGGATTGGTTTTTTTTACTATTAATGTAGATAAATTATCTACATTGAACCTAAAACGATATGATTTTGAGACAAAAATCAAGATATTTTTGTAATTATAATTTATTTCAGGATTATATTAATTTTTTCATTATAATTTTTTAATTTTTTAACCTAAAAAACGTTATTTTGAAAGCAAAAGTAGATAACTTATCTATAAACATTAAAACCTTTTTGTTTAATGAAAAAGCCAGAAAGCGAGGACTAAAAAGTAAAAGGATGAAATAAAATCCAACCAATCACATACTTTTCAGCTTAATGACATGATATTTCTAATTATCCATATCATAATCTCCTTTTCCATCCTCAAGAAAGTTCCCGTGTCGCATTTTCCCGGAAAAATGAAATTTTCTTGTTCGATTTTCCTCTGAAAAAATAAAAATAAAAATAAAAATCTAAGCTTTATCATGGCCCTCCTAATCCACTCCCCGGAAATGTTCCTTGTCCCTCAAATTGCCTATAATCCTAACCCTAAGCTGAGCAAACTTCACGGCTTCAAACCCTACACAAAAGTTAAGGCAATTGGACCAAAGCGTGCGGTGAAAATTTCTTGTGAAGTGAAAGATTGTGCGGTTTTGGATTTGGGTTTGGATCAGAACGTGAATTCGTACGGTCAGTTCTCGGTTCCGGTTAAGGGAGGATCGAGGCAGAGCAAAGAGGAAGAAGAAGAAGAAAAGCAGAATTACTATGTTAATATGGGATATGCCATTCGAACTTTAAGGGAAGAGTTCCCTGATCTCTTCTACAGGGAACTTAGCTTTGACATCTACAGGTTAGGGTTTCACTCATGATTTTGCATGATGGATGTTGACTATAGGAGGAGAATATGTGTAAAATCACTGCTTTTTTTTTTAATGACTTTCGTGGAAGATTCATAATTTTTTTTATCACTTGCGTTGTGATTATTAATGGTATAAATTAAGTGACAATTGAATAAGATTTAGGTATGTAGTTGCTTTCAACTGGAGCTAATCCTTCAATGACATTCTACCCGTTCATAATTATAGTTTTACAGGTGTTACTTAGTTGCCTTGCTTGTAGTTATAGTTAAAGTACTATTATTGTATTTTACTTACTAAAGTGGCTTGATTGAGTTAAGGGTTTATCAAGTGAGAACATTGTCTTATTATAATATTGAGATGAGCTAATGTTGAAACCTTGCATGTCCGGTGAAGTTTATGACATAAAGTAGTATGACTCTTTTAAGTGGTCATGTGACCTTTGAAGTCTATGATCATTGTGAGTCTGAAGTAGAGGACCGGTTTGAGCCAGTATGCGATAGCCAAGTTCGTCGAGGGGAAGCACATGGATCTTCCTCCTACCTTCCTGAAGCGTCTTCTCAACTGTGTCAAGAAATACAGTGGCCGGCTGGCAAACTCATCAAGTTCAAGAACCCCTTCAAGCTGCCACTGAGTTGACCGGCTCCGGCTAAGGCTACTGCTCCTGCTACTAAGAAGTCTAAAGCTGTGTCTAAGCCAAGGGTCAAATTCGCTTCCAAACCCAAGCCCAAGGCTGCAGCGGCAAGTGCCAAGACAAAAGCAAAGTCATGTAAGGTTACTAAGGGGAAGGAAGTGGCGGCTAAGCTAGCAAGGAAGGCATCGGTTAAGGGTGTGAAGAAGCCCAAGAGCATGAAATTGCTGGCTAAGAAGTGAGGATGCTACTACTAGTGTAGATAGATAGAATCTTCACTTCTTAGCTTTCTTTGCCGGCGATTCCATGCTTTGGGCTTCTTCACACCCTTTACTGGCGGCCTCCTTGCTGGCTTAGCCGCCACCTTCTTCCCTGCAGTCACCTTAGCCGGCTTTCCTTTTGGCTTGGCACTTGCCACCACAGCCTTGGCCTTGAAAGTGGACTTGACACTTGGCTTAGACACAGCTTTTGGGTTTTTGTTTGCAGGAGCAGTAGCCTTAGCCGGAGCCGGTTGACTTTGCCGCAGCTTGAAGGAGTTCTGGACATTAAGCATATCAAGTGAGAGCTATTATGACATTGAGATGAGCTAATCTTGATATCATGCATGTCCCTGTGAATTTTATGACTAAGCTGTATGACTCTTTTAAGTGGTCGTGTGACCTTTATGTAATTCCAAATCTTGGCTATTCATACAAGATCCAGGGATCAAGATCTATTCCTCTCATTTATCATAATAAGACAGTGCTTTCGCCTGATATGCCCTTAGACTTCTTTATATTTGTCTTTAAGTTTAACTATCATAGAGGCTTGGGGACCGATTGTGTGTAGTTCACATGATGACTTATTTATGTGTAAACCACACGCGGTACTTAAGTGGGTGCAAAAATCATAAGGATTGTAACAATGAAGCTTGTTCTGCTATTGATAGTTCCGAACTATGGATAATTACAATTTCCTAGCAATTAAAAGTGTAATGATACATGCCCTTTAGGGGGCGTTTGGTAGAAGAGAAATTTTATTTATCTAGGAAAAAATTATTACTGGAATATAGTGGGAAATAAATTTTTCTAAAATTTTACTAAAAAGGTGTTTGGTAAGGTCAAACTTTCCCGAGATTTTATGCTTAAATTTACTGAGTGTGTGTTTGGTTGATTGTGAAATATTAGTGGTAATGTGAGGTTATTTTACGAAAATAACCCCACCTTTACCCTTTCTATGTTTCCCCCCATGGCCTCATCTGGGGATACAAAGCTTTGTAATCTTCCAACAGCCAAAATATGCCCCACTCGTATGTTTCAAAGCTGTTCCCAATTAATACCATGTTTAAGATTCAGTTTCATAATTCTGCTTCACATTGAAGCATGAAGAACAATGTTGGCTTTAGAGCCTCTCGCCTCCCATGCTCATTTATGGACATGACATAGCAACCAAGAGCTTCCAAAACCCGATGCATCTCGCCTCTCGCCTCCCGTCTGGAATGAAGCTCGCCTCTCGCCTCCGGTTTGGAATGAAGCTTCAGATGCAATTTCTTCCAAAAGCTTCAGAAAGCTATGACACAATGCATCAATAGGGTTATTTTGGTCTATTGCTTTGGGCTTCTTGCTCCATTTCTTCTGGAAAAGAAGAATTCTAACTTATTTTTGGTATTTTGAGGTTGGAATTTTGGATCACTTTTGCACTATGCATGAAAATCCCGAATTTTTTTTTTCCCAAGATAATTTTCTTTTTTTAGGTACCAAACATTGCAATCTTAGACTACCAAGTTTAGAATCCTAGACATTTGGAAATTTGCCTCATACCAAACGGCCCCTTACTTATACTACTTTTTCTTTTTCTGCATCCTTTTCCTGGTTCTCAAAATCTAAGGCGCGAAAGTGTTAAATCTTGCCTACATTTACCATGGTATCTGGTTGAGTATATTGAAGTTGTTATTGGTGTAATACTGCATCGTGACTTGTGTCACTTTATTTTATGCCAAAGGTAGATGCACTTGTTTAAGGAACTCTAGGTTTGAGTCCTAAGCATTGCATTAATGTATTCAAGAAGATTATTGGACTATAGTCAAAATAATTAGAGGACACCGTAAATCTTTTAATTGATTTAATAAGATTAGAGGGAAGCTTCTACTGCGCGCCTTATTTTTTATGAACTTATATTGCACTAGGGTTATGTGCTTTTCTTAAAATAATAAACTTCTAATGAGTGTCTTCTTTGCTCTGTTATGCTAAATTTACTGACTATAATAGCTCCTTTTTTCAGGGATGACATTGTATTTAAGGATCCTCTGAGTACATTTATCGGTATCGAGAATTACAAGTCGATCTTCTGGGCACTACGATTTCATGGGAGGATGTTTTTCAAAGCTTTATGGATAGACTTAAGTAGTGTATGGCAGCCTACTGAGAACATCATTATGGTTCGCTGGACTGTTCATGGGATCCCACGAGTTCCATGGGAAAGTCGTGGTAGGTTTGATGGAACCTCTGAGTATAAACTTGACAAGCAAGGCAAGATTTTTGAGCACCGGGTTGACAACATTGCTGTGAATTCACCTCCTAGGTTTAAAGTGCTGGGCGTGGAAGAATTAATTCGATCTATTGGCTGCCCCTCGACCCCAAGACCAACTTATTTTGAAATATCTTCATCTACTAAGAAAACATAATTTTGCTCAAGTTCTTCAAAAAGTTTTGTTGTAAATTATTCATATTACGTTAATAAGCTAGACATCTGGCATCTTGCTTGTCATATAAAGCTGTGAGAAAATTGACTTTTGCCTTCGACTTAGACTTGGTTTACATGGTGCTCGAATCTATTGGCACCATTTTATAGGGTATTTGTTGGCTATTGTAACTAGTGAGTGTGAAAAGCCATGTATATATAATGTAATTACTAGTACTGTCTTCCTTTATCCATAGATTCATAGAAGCAACTTGTGTTCTGGTGTCACAAGACTAATTCATACTTTTAAATTCTTGCTTCTTACTAGGGGCATGGTTTGGTTTTATATAACGAACTGGAAAAGTGGTTCAGTTTGAGCAAACCGAATCTATTTTAAAAAAAAATTCAGTTCTTGAACTGATTTGAAAAAATTTGGTTCCGTTCTTAAATCAATTCGGAAAAATATAATATAATTCAGTTCAATTTGCAGATTGGTTTAATTCATTTGATTTTTTTTAACTTCTAGGAGTAGGTATAATCCAATTTGGTTTGTTTCTTAAACCGGTTTGAAAAAATATGATTTTTTTTTATACTGTTGAGATTGATTCACGGTTCGTTTAGTTTATTTATTTATATCCCTACTTTTTACAGTAATTTATTAATTAGCCCTCTTCGTGCACCCCTTTTCAGTTAGCATAAAAGATTGGATTTGAACTCTTGTTTGCAACTATAAATAGCAAAATGCATAACTTTTTTTTTTTTGATACAAAAAATGCATAACTATGTGGCTGTAATGTGAAATATATTAATATAAATATATTTATAATTTTACAAAGTATAACATCAGAATTCATATTTAAAGTTTAATCATTATATGACTTAATTGTGTTATTTGTTTGTAATAATATGTAGATACACTTTTTAGTTTTACATACATAAAGCCAATTAAAAAAAAGTTAATTTAACCAATTATTTTCATATAACGTTAATAATTAAATATTTTATTAACTATTAATTATTTTTTATTCAAGTTAATTACTTAATTTGATAACTAAAAGTGTTATCAATTATCATAATGAATTTTGTTGGGCCTGTCATCAATCAAGTCCAAGGAAAAAGCCTAGAAGATCTGGAAAGGAATAATCCTCTCTCTCTCTCTCTCTCACCCTCTGGTAAAGTTGCAATAGCTGGAACTGCAATCATGTCTCCGAATTCGATTTCCTCATGTTCGTTTCGATTGGTCACAACCAGAATCCCACTCTCCTTCTACGACAAAAACCCACTCTCCAAAAACTCAACTTTCTTCGTAACACCCACCAAATTCTTCAAGCCTATCTCCTTCGAGAGAGTTCCAACGAAACAATCAGCATCATCATCATCATCATCACCATCGACCACTTCTCTGCAACCCATCGAAGAGCTCCCTCCGAAGCTTCAAGAAATCGTGAAGCTCTTTCAGTCCGTTGAGGAACCAAAAGCCAAGTACGAGCAGCTTCTCTTCTATGGCAAGAACCTCAAACCCCTCGATTCCCAATTCAAGAGCAAAGACAACAAGGTCGAAGGTTGCGTTTCCCAGGTTTGGGTCCGAGCCTACCTCGACCCTCACAACAATGTCATCTACGAAGCTGACTCTGATTCTATGCTCACTAAGGGCCTCGCCGCTTTGCTCGTTCACGGCTTTTCGGGTCGACCCGTCCATGAAGTTCTTCGGGTCTCGCCCGATTTCGTTGTGCTTCTCGGGTTGCAGCAGAGTTTAACCCCTTCCAGGAATAATGGGTTCTTGAATATGCTCAAATTGATGCAGAAAAAGGCTCTTATGCTCTATGTGGAAGCGGAAAAGGGTGCTGAATTGAGCTCGGCTTCAAGTTCTGAGTTCAAAGGTGATAAATTTGTTGAGAATTCAAGTGGTGGAAACAGTTCACCATCACCATCACCATCACCATCACCCAGTTCAGATGTTAGTTTGAGTTCTGAGGTTGATGTTAAGCATACAGAATTGGGAGGAAGAGGGAAGAGGATCAAGGAGAAGCTAGAAAAGGAGCTTAATCCTGTTCAATTGCAAGTTGAAGATGTTTCTTATCAACATGCAGGGCATGCTGGTGCTAGAGGGAGTGATGGTGAGACACATTTCAACCTTAAAGTGGTGTCTGAAGAGTTTGAAGGGAAGAGTTTGGTCAAGAGGCATAGGCTCATCTATAACCTTCTGCAAGAGGAGTTGCAGTCTGGATTGCATGCCTTGTCAATTGTGGCTAAGACACCATCTGAAGTCAGTGAAGGATGAAAAATTAATTACACCATTTGATAGGTTGAAATTCTCTCCTTTGTTCCTATTGTGTTTATGGCTGTATTCATTTTGCTTGGTGAACCAGAAGGGTACTTGTATTTGTTAGAATACTTGTTTTGTTTTGAACATAGTAGATTATGTCATTATACTGATGAATAATTTATTTGCTGATGTATAAATCTAGACTTCTTTTCATTCCAATACTCTATCAATTTTGTCATTAAAAGGCAGAAGGATGATGGCGTGGCTTCTGAGCTCAATTTGAGTGAATGCTTTATTGTTTTGGTCATTTGACTTTCTGAGTCAAGGTTAATTATATCATTGAATAAAGGTCCAAGCTGTTGTCACAGTTGTTAATAACATTATGAGTAGCAGTTCTCTTGTTTGATAAATTAAGACTTCGTGATTTTCTTTCAATAAAATCTCATTTTCCCATCGTGTTAGGGTGCAAGACGGTAAGGGTTCAATATTTCTTCTTTTCCTTCATGATTACCCAATCACTTTTATGTGAGTGAGTTTTATGCAGCAAAAATGAAAATATTTTTCTTGAAATAAACTGTAATGCTTATAATTTGATGTTCTCTTCTTAATTTTGTGTTCATATATATAAATAAATGGATTGTATGTAGAATTTTAGCCTCAGGTAATTCTATTTTTAACATCTGGAAATTGGAACATTATACATTTTGGAATGAGATGTTACACTCTGCTGATTGATAGTTATTATCTTGTATTGGGCTAGTCTCGTATTGCTGTGCTGTTTTTAACTTTAACGTATAAAGTGTATCATTAACGTTATGGTAGCATGTTTACTAAATACTTGATCTTTAATACAGAAATGCTGGAACAATTCTAGCATTCGTAGAAATTGACAGAGGGAAAAGAAAGTTCCTTGGGAGAGTAAGGATTCAGTTGTAACTCTAAAGTTGTCTTTGAACTAATTATGAGATACTATCTTGAGTGAATTACATCGACCTCTCGGGAGGTTTATGAAACCTTAAACAAAAAATCTGTAATTACCCTATAAGTGTAGCTCAGTTGACAATACAGGCTGAATATTGTTGGAAGAAAATCTTAATTTAATTCCCACCAAATAAATCTTTGAGAAGGGGCAAATTTTTTTAACTATAATTAAGCTCAGACTTGGGATTAGTTCAATAGTCTATTCAAAGTTTAAATTTATGGGAATATTTAAAAGTTGACTTGTCTCAAAAAAATAATTATAGTCAGAATATCAAAAATAAAATAAAATTAAAAACACTGTAGTTTACGGTATTACATGACCTCCCTTGATATTGTTATTTCACCTATACAAGGGGGGAGTCTTTATTGAAATTCAGAAAGTGTAAGTTGTTTTGTTATCGTCTATGCGTGTGCAGCACCTTTTATTTTTGGAATTTTACACTATACTGTCATGGTGACTATTGGGATCTCTTTGCAAAAGCATGGACTTCACTTGTGGCTGGCATTTCCTCTATGTTTTGGCTTGCCATCCTTGATGTTAAAAAAAGAAAAAAGAAAAAAACAGAGATGATTATTATGGTTTTGATATTTTAATAAAATATTTTTCTCTTTCATGCTTCCTCTAAGTGACATGAGCTGCATAAGGGCTTCAGTTTGATTACCTAAATCTACAGTTAAAAAGCCCTGCCATTGATAAGCTCAAATAAGTAGGAATTTGAAAACAATTTTTATACTTTTTCCTCAAAAGGAAAAAAATAATGGAAAATACTTTAATATATAAAAGGAAAAGTCAAAAATTCCTATGATATTGCTTTGAATCAGTTTTTTTTTTTTTTGGAAAAAGTTCATAAATCCTCTTGTGGTTTATTCTTTTATCACTTACACTTTTATTTATTTATTTATTTTTTATCAATTATCCCCTTATATTTTTTTTCATTCAATTCCTCCTAGAACACTCCATTATGGGTTTATTACATTGGAAAGACCATGATCACTATCCATCTCTATCTTCATGTATTTTTAAAATGCATATACAGGAACTTGTGAATGGCTCTTCCAACTTGCAAATCTGCATTTTGCAAACTACTTGATGATATGAACTGGATGCGGAAATATTTGTCTTTTTATTGTAGTTGATGCTGATTCAAGTTTGCTTATTTGTTAATTGTGATAATTATTTGAGCAATGATAATGATTTTCAGTAGTTCATTTGTGTTTTCAAAATGTTGATTACTTGTTTGAGTTTTGAATAGGTTTTTGGTTCAGGTTTGTGATGGCTTCTTGGGCACTAATGCTTTAAATGGTTATATGCTAATTTCCTGCATTCAGCTTGAATGGATTGAAGGTGAGTAAGAGATAACAAAAGATAAAATGAATAAAAGAGATAACAAAACATAACGGACAAGTGATAAAAAAAGTAAACCACAGTTTATGAAAAAAAAATTTAAGAGAAAAATGTCTATCCTTTTAAATGATACAACTTATATCCTTTGAGATAAGACCCACATTTTTTTTTTTTTTTTTGTCAAATCTCTCTCTTCGTTTATCTATCTCTTTATCTCTCTTAATATAAGAGAACTTTACATCTATTAAAATGACACACACTTTTCTCTTTTTTTAATCACTTGACCTCCTATGATTTTTTCCACCACATCTTTCTTTAACACTATTAGAAACTTAATTAAATATATACATTTTAGGAAAAGGTTATACTTATTATTATTAAATCTTTATTGTTAATTTTCGTAAATCTAACAATTATAACTTATTATAATTAATAATTAATTAATAAATATAATTCAATAATATAACCGTTAGATTGATAAAAAGTTAAAATTTAATAAAAAAAAATATAACATCTCCCTATATTTTATTCTTATTAGAAGAAGAAGAAAATGAAATAATAATAAAAAAGATTTAGATCACATGATAAAAGACTAAAAGAAAAAAAAATAAATGTGTCTAATTAAAAAAAAGTCCAAATATGTTAATAATCACAGAAATGACAAAAAGATTAGAATTAAAAATAGTTTAAATGAAAAACAAATATACTAAAGACAAAAAAAAGTATAAAAAAAATCACAGTTGTAAAATTTTAATATATTTGATTTTTTTTTATCTATTTTATTCTTTTTATTTAGATATGTTTTGGTCTTTTTTATACTTCCATTTTATTCTTTTTTTTTTTTTATGAAAATCTTCGGTAGATGGATGGCACAAGGCTAAAAAAATAAATAAAAATAGATCAAAAAGTGAAAAAAAATAAAAAGGATTATTGACATAGTATTCAATGGGATAGGATAGTGTGACACACAAATAATGTTACCCACAATGTTACGACCACATCTTAACCGTTGATTTCCGTCAATCAACGGTTATCATTTATTGCGAATTAATAATTAATTAATGAGTTTAATTTGAAAAATGATAACCGTTAATTGGCGAAAATCAACGGATGTGGTCGTAACATTGTGCGTAATCCTAGGGATTCAATATGCTCAAAGGAAAACTAGAAAAGGATCTATAGAATGACACAACCCTATATTGAACACACTTCTCATTATATGGATAAGTTGGCGCTAGAACTATGGTTATATAGTAAGGCAGAGTCGTAGCACCGTTAGAATTGCAGCGATTTCACAAGCTTGCTCAACAATTCTGATTTTACTGCATCAAACAAATCAAACATTTATACAGAATTATTTGATGCAGTAAAATCAGGAAATATTGAACTATCAAATGGCTTCTTTACACGAATCAAGAAATGCCTTAACAAAGCAATAATCAATGATGGTTGAATTGGTTTACATTCCAAAAGTTGTTAAAAAATTTTTAACAACAGCCCTGCCATTGATAAACTCAAATAAGGAGGAATTTGAAAACAATTTCTACACTTTTCATCAAAAGGAAAAAAATGGAAAATACTTCAATATATAAAAACTTCGAATAAAATTTTTGGACAGAATTTATGTTATGGAATATAGCCGAGGGTTCTAGATGCACCAAAAATCAAACACTAATTTGGGCATCCTACGATTCGGCTAATAACTCTGCGAAGGGTATTGAAATACATTGTTAGAGTGGCCTCAACAACAAGAGTACTCGCCACTCTGCTGGGATCTTCGCATTCTTAATTTTAATAATAATAATAATAATAATAATAATAATAATAATAATAATAATGATGTACGAAAATCAAAATCCAAAGATGAACCAAGCCAAATGACGAAACACTTGGTCGCGATGAGATCTCGATTCAATTTCCGAAGGCAAACTTGAAAAAAAAAACGCACTGATTTATGGCGTTTCCTCCATAGGAACCTTCGATTCAAATATGAAATCGAACGAAAACATAAAGAGAAAGGTAAAAAAAAAATTAAATAAAAAAGGCTTTGTAACGATGCTCAGTGAATACGAACCATAATAGTGAAAGGAATCATATTGCAGAGTGATCCGCAATCGATGGTTATGTTACCCATCATTCTTTTGTTTTTCTTCATTGCATCATCTTTTTGTTAAACGAAACGAAACAAATAGAAGAAAATAGATGAACGACATGTAGCGGCGACTATAAACCCTAAAATCAATAGCAGCTGCAAGGGATGTTGATACTTCAAGCTCCTTTATATAGCGTTTTTTGGACAAATTATAAAAATAAGTATTAAATTAAAAGAATGTGACCTATAAAATTGCAAAAATATACTTTAACATATTTTCTATTATGTATTAATTATTTAATTTTTTATACTTCAGTTTAATATCAGTGAAGGGTTTGCAATGCTGTTACTGTAGAAATTGTGGATGTGCAGCGTAGAAAACAAAAAAGTTGGGATCCACCAGAAAAAATACTAATTTTTATAATTATTCTATAAAATATTTTTATAAAAAAATTAGAATACAATCAAATACACCCTAATAATTTTTTTTTATTACTATTAAAATTAGGGGGAATACTCTACTATCAACAATTTTTTTTTTCAATTCATTACCTATCTGATTACTATTAGATAACAGATAGAATGCTAAAAATATTGTGAAAAAAGAAAAAATATTAATTTAATAATAATTAAATTAATACTTATTAAATAAATAATAAGTTGGTAATAGATTTTTTTGGTCATAAAAATATTTCCCTCTTAAAAGTTAAAACTATGGCTTCTAAACTTCAATTAAAATAAGCGAAGAAAATATTACAAAAGTATATTAATTGAAAAAAAAAAAAATACAGAAGAACGCACATTTACGCGCAGACGAGACAAGGGCACCGCAAAATGAGTCGCTGACATAATTTAAAGAACAAAATAATACAATATTTCCATAATAATTAACAAAAATATATTAGTAAAAAATTAAAAGGAAGCGCATACACTTATCATTTTCTTGTTCATCAATACACTTGCACCACAAGTATCACATCGCGTGACTAAAAATAAAAAATTATAATTAATTTTTTCCATATATGTGAAAATTTCATTCGTTGACATAATTTATATTATTTTTTAAAATATTTAAATTTTCCTTTATTTAATTTTTTTCTTATTTTCTCTTTAATATTGATTGTTTATACTTTTAAATTAACCTTCAGTTAAATTTTTCAGATATTAAATAATTTTATTTTATTTATTGAATCAAAACATATTAGCAAATTTATGATACACGATATAATTCATAAACACTCTGATACACATCGTGAACGGTATGGGAAAGTGATTTTTATATCGGATGATACGATACGTATCCTATATCTTAGGGTACGAAAAATAAATAAAATTTTATAATTTTTATAATAAAAAATAAAAATTTGATTTATAATTCATATTAAAAAATTCTAAAAAAAATTATTAACAAGAAAAAAATAAAGATTTTATTTGTGATTTAAACTCAAAAATCAATATAAAAAATCTATTAATAAAGAAAATAATTAAATAAATATTTAATATCTATTTTAAAATTATTTTATATTATATTTCTGTATATTATAATTCGATACGATATATAATACAAAAAATCGATCCAACGATACATATTGCGATTTAACAACCTTAATGACTCATATTTTTTTACTTTAGTTTCTTTTTAAAATGACTGGTTTTATTTTAATTTCTTCCTTTATATTTTAAATTTAAATTTTTAATCAACTATGCACATATTTTGATTTATATTCACAATATAATTTTTTTGAATATTATCTAAATTAATTATTTTTTTATAAAATAAATTATTTTATTTATGCTTTTGAATTTTTATTAAAATTTAAAACACCCTTACGATTTACTGAATATATGGCAATAAGTTAAGTTATTAATCCTAAAAAAATTGAAAAATAAAAAAGGAATTTGATGAAAATAAACAGAAGCATGATAAGTTAGAAGGAGAACCCTCCCTCCTCCAATCTGAGATCTAACAAGAATCACATTGCAGTGCCCCCACTTTCACAGATTCCCCTCCAAAACCAAATAAATAAGAATAATAATAAAAGAAAAAAAGAGAAAAAAAATAAATCGGCAACAACAATTGCAAGTTGCATCTACATATCTATATAATCTTCGTTTGCTGCAATTTTTGAGGGTGCGTTGGTGATTTGAATAAATCATGTGGGGCACAATTGCCAATTTGAAGGAGAACTTGAACAAGATCGCCCTCGACGTTCATGACGACGACGACGACGATGCAATGCTTCGAATGTACGGCGGCGGCGACGGAGACAATTCCGCCGTCTCCGATCGCCGGAATTCTCACGGCTTCGCCCATTCCAAATCTGGAATTAGGTCGCCACTCTCAAACGGCATCGATCATGCTTCTCCTTCTGAGGTCATTCCCTCTCTCTCTCTCTCTTGATGCATTTAACTAGTCAGCTATAACTAGTAACGTGTGTGAATCGTTGATTACCTTGAGAACTTAACGCATCTGGTTCTACATTGAACTAGGTCTTGGGTTTTAGTTTCATTAAATCATGTTATTTCTGCAATTCTCGTGATTTCATTCCAGAGCTGGAGACAAGTTAAATATTTAAAGAAACTGAAAACATAGTATCCAATAATTTACAATAATTATTGGAGAGATTCTGCTAATTTACAATAATTTTATATGTTTGTTGTATGGTTTTATTTTTTTTTATTTTTAAATCTCACTATGACATCTCACTATAACATTGTCAACTTGCCATTCCTCCACATAAAATTAGCATTAAGTTCATTAGTGAGAATTTGTTGTCAAATGCATGAAATTATAGTGTAGTAAATGTTTATCACTTGTTTTTGCCCCTTGGATCTCCTTACTTTAGTAGTGGTTTGGTTAAATAAGATACCATTTTGTAACCAAAAAAGAGAAAGATGTCATTACAATCTTTATTTTGCTTCTTGTAGATAGAACAATACAAAGCAGAAATCAAGAGACTTCAAGCATCTGAGGCTGAAATTAAAGCATTGTCAGTTAATTACGCAGCTCTATTAAAAGAAAAAGAAGTATGGCTATTACCTTCCTGCATATTTGTATTGTACCAGTACTCTTGTATATTTTTCTTTTCTCTTGTTTCATATGTTGGAGCTATGTAATTGTGCAATTATCTCAGAGTCTGCTACATTGTTGTACATGATTGAGCTTATTTCATTTAGCTGGGATATCTTTGTTACCTTCTGGAACAAATGTTGTTGGTTCTGCTAACTTTTTGTGTTTTGAAATCTTCATGGACCTTATTTTGGGTCTGTTTGAAATAAAGTGAGTTCAGCAACAACGGGTCATTTCAAATAAATATCATATATATTCTGGATTTTGTGCTATGTAAAGTAACGCTCTGATCCTTCCCTCATCCCCCAAAACAAGAGGACTTTTAATATTCTTGAATACATAATAGAATTATATCTCTTCATTACATGGTCTCTCTCAGAGAAGTTTCATTAACAGTCACTTAACAATTTACTTAATGAATAATTCTATTATTTTGATCCTAAATGGCCTTTGACAAGATTAACCATCCAATCATTTCCTTTGCAGGATCAGATTGTTAGATTGAATAAAGAAACTGGATCACTAAAGCAGAATTTGGAGGCTACAAATGCTGCTTTGAGTGTCTCCAGAATTGAAGGTTCTGGAGCATCTAAAAATGGTATCTATTCAGTCAAGGTAGTTCTGTATTCTAATTAAAACTTTATTTTGGGGAGTTTAATGTATGTTAAGAAAAAAATTTGTCTTGTGCTGGAGGTCCTCCGACACATTTCGTTTCTGGTACTTTATTTTGTTTGTATGAAATTCAATTAGTAATGACGATGCTTGACTGGCAATGTCATATGCATTGTTATGTCTTAGTTTTGATTCAAGTTTGGTTTAAGGGCCTTGAATCTAAGCAGGAAGATAGCATAATATTCAATATGCTCATGGAAAAGTATCTATAGAATGGCACAATCCTATTCTGAACATGCTTCTCATTATATGGATAAGTTGGGGCTAGAACTATGAGTGGGTATATAATATAACCATAGTAAGGCAGAGTAGCACCACTAGAATTGAAGCAGCACCACCAATGCAGTTGGACAGCAACTCATATTGATGGGGAAAAGTGGAACAACAACTCAGAATATCAGATAGAAGGGTAATGGTGTTGGGGAAAGAGCCAAAAGGAGGTTTGGGATTTTAAATTTCGGGGTGGGCATTTTTTTTGCCTGGGAAAATGAGTTCCTCCGCCACTTAAATGGTGGCTCATCCAGACCCCAGAAATTTTCCTATTTCCGCAATTTCACAAGCTTGCTCAACAATCCTGCAACGATCTAACCAAACCAAGTTGGTACGGATAATCGGGAATGAAGTTCCCTGATGCACTCATAGTTGGCCCATTGCACATGACCCAACCAGTGATTCAAGAGTCAACCTGAGTTGTGGCCCAATAAGTATGACCCAATTGTTGAAAAGAAGTAGTAAATTGAAATATAACAAATTACGATCAAATCCAAGTCCAAATGAAGCAACATATATGATTGTGATTTGTTTGGCAAGAAAAGGAAAGCAACACGTTTGGCATGATTTGTGATCTAAGATTTGGGACGTGTTTTGAATGATTTAATTGTAATTATTTATTTATTTTTAAAAGTTAATTCCTATTATGTTTATTTTAGGAAGTTTTCTTGTTTTTAGGATTTTAGATTTTTGAATTTTGGATCAATTTGTAATTAGTCTATAAAAGGGTGCTTATGACCTTTATTCTAGGAGTTGAATTTTGTTATTTTGATAATTAGAAATTAAGAACCAGAGGGTTACTCTTCTATCGTATCGTATCCCAACTTTCTGTAGCCATTTTTCTTTGCGCTTTCGGCATCATTTGGTATCAGAGCACTAGGTTGCCTTCAACCAATGGCTGAACAGAATCGTAGAGGTCATCGATGGCGGAGTTGTGAAGACAAGGGAGGTGGATTCGTTCCTAAAGAGGACGGACAATCGCGTCAGATAGACCCACGTGACATAGAAAATGAAGAGCTCAGAAGGCGGATCAAGGATTTGAAGCGACAACTTGTGGAGGCGCAGAGCATGAAAATCCAATTTTTGGAGTGACTAGTGCGGGCGCAGAGCAGGAAAATTCAAGATTTGGAGCGAGAACTCGCGAGGGCCCATACCGAGAAAATCCAAGCAACAACTAGTAACATCCCAGGCGCTGACGAGGGCGGGGAGTGATCGCCGGTGCGAAAGGGCATGGACAAGGAGCGGCTCCTGGCAGGCTTCCAGCGATGGGGGTACAAGAATGAATCGAATCAACACCCGAAAGAGAGGGATTCCAGAGACTGTGCTGGTATGGGACGGTACAGTTGGGAATAACTTATAAGAATTAATTAGTACTACCTATACTAACAAGATGCATCTACTTTTCGATAGCCCGGAACGGAAGAACTCCATAGTTAAGCGTACTTGACTTGGGGCAATTCTGGGATGGGTGACCTCCTCGGAAGTTTTCTCGGGAAGTGTGTGAGTGAGGACAAAGCACGCTGAAAAGTCTCGTGTTAGTGCGTGGGGACATTCGTTGATCCTTACAAGTTGCCAGGCGTTACACAACTTGTGGAGGCACAGAGCATGAAAATCCAACATTGAATGGAATGGAATTACGTGGATTTTTGTGGATAAAGTTGGGCATTCAATCCGAAGAATGAATGGAATTACAGGACGCATCTTATGACGAAAAGGAGGACGTCAATTCCTTGTGGATTCTAAACCAGGGACAAAATTAGGAAGTACGACCTCGAATTCAGTCCACTTTTCAAGATATCGAGATGCAAATCAACATTTCTGATTTTGATGATGATCCCATATATGATAACTACTTATCTTATGATAAAGATTCAGTTTACGATGATAATCCAGTCTTATGATAAATCTGATATGGAATCAAATTATGAAAATCTAATAGAGGAAGATTTATCATTTGAGTTTTTGTCTAAAGAAATTGATATCAATGAATATGAAGCAGATTTGGGGACGAATCTTTTCCTAGTAGAGGAGAAAGATGCACTTATAGTTGGCCCATTGCATATGGCCCAACCAGTGATTCAAGAAGTTCAGAGTCCACTAGAGTTGTGGCCCAATAAATATGGCCCAATTGTTGAAGGAAGCTGTAATTTGAAATATAACAAATTACGATCAAATCCAAGTCCAAATGAAGCAGCAGATATGATTGTGATTTGTTTGGCAAGAAAAAGAAAGCAACACGTTTGGCTTGATTTGAGATCTAAGATTTGGGACGTGTTTTGAATGATTTAATTGTAATTATTTATTTATTTATAAAAGTTAATTCATGTTATATTTATCTTAGGAAGTTTTCTTATTTTTAGTATTTTACATTTTTGACTTTAGAATTTTGGATCAATTTGTAATTAGTCTATAAAAGGTGCTTATGACCCTTATTTTAGGAGTTGAATTTTGTTAATTAGTAATTGAGATCCAAAGGGTTACTCTTTTATCGTATCCCAACTTTCTGCTTAGCCACTTTTCTATGCGCTTTCGGCATCATTAAAAGCGCATAGAAAAGATTGCTAAACAGAAAGTAAGAATTTCACAAAAGAGTAATCTTCCAGTTCTCAATTTTTAATTATCAAAATAGCAATATTCAACTCTTAAAATAAGGGTCTTAAGCACCCTTTTATAGACTAATTACAAATTGATCCAAAATTCAAAATCGAAAGTCCTATAAATAATAAAACTTCCTAAAATAAATATACTAGTAATTAACCTCTAAAAATAAATAAATAATTACAATTAAATCATTCAAAATACGTCCCAAATCTTAGATCTGAAATCATGCCAAATGTATTGCTTTCCTTTTCTTGTCACACAAATCGCAATCGTATCTGCTACTTCATTTGGACTTGAATTTGATCGTAATTTGTTATATTTCAAATTACTGCTTCTTTTAACAAATGGGTCATATTTATTGGGCCGCAATTTTGGTTGACTCTGGACTTACTGAATCAATGGTTGAGGCATGTGCAATGGGCCAACGGTAAGTGCATCATTCTCCTCTACTAGGAAAAGATTCGTCCTCGAATCTTCTTTATCTTCACTGATCTCAATCACTTTAGGTAGAAGCTGAAATGAGAATTCTTCCTCGATTAAATTTCCATCATCTAATTTCCCATTAGATTTATCAGAAACTAAATAATCATCATAAATTGGATAATTATTGTAAATTGGATAATCATCATAAATTGGATTATCATCATAGATCGGATAATTATAATAAACTAGATAATAATCATTGATTTCAAAGTCAGGAATGTTGATTTGCATCTCGATATCTTGAAAAGTGAACTGATTTCCAGGTCGTACTTCTCAATTTTGTCCCTGGTTTAGAATCCCCAAGAGATTGATGTTCTCTTTTTCGTCATCAGATGCATCCTCTAATTCCATTCCTTCTTTGGATTGAATGCCCAACTTTGTTCATACAAGTTGCCGCTTCAAATGTTGGTTTTATATGCTTTGTGCGTCCACAGGAGCTTGCTTCAAATTTTAGATTTTCATGCATACCCGCACGAGTCGTCGTTCCAAATCTTGAATTCTCTTTCTCTGCATCCGCACAAGTAGTCACTCCAAAACTTGAATTTTCTTGTCCAACGTTTGCTCAAGTTGTTGCTTCAAATCTCGGGTCCACCTTCCGAGCTCGTCATTTTCTATGTCACGCGGGTCTATCTGACGGGATTGTCTGTCTTCTTTAGGAACGAATCCACGTCCCTTATCTTCACGAAAACACATAGAAAAGATGGCTAAACAGAAAGTAAGGATTTCACAAAAGAGTAACCCTCCAGTTCTCAATTTTTAATTATCAAAATAAAAAAATCCTAAAAATAATAAAACTTCCTAAAATAAATATAACATAAATTAACCTCTAAAAATAAATCAATAATTACAATTAAATCATTCAAAATACATCTCAAATCTTAGATTTCAAATCATGCCAAATATATTGCTTTCCTTTTCTTGTCAAACAAATCGCAATCATATCTGCTACTTCATTTGGACTTGAATTTGATCGTAATTTGTTACATTTCAAATTAATGCTTCTTTTAACAATTAAATCATATTTATTGGCCGCAATTTTGGTTGACTCTAGGCTTCTTGAATCAATTGTTGAGCCATGTGCAATGGGTCAACTGTAAGTGCATTATTCCCAGCCTTCCCCACAAAAGCGTAAGATCATGCGATCTTATGATGAAGATTGCAATCTTAGCTACCTTGGTTGTAATATAGTTGAAAATATTGGGCTATATGCCTTTGGTCTTGAAAAATAGCTAAGGATTCTTGTTGACTACTTTTAAATATTTGTGCAGGGAAGTAGTGATCAATCACCCAATCGACAGCATAAGTTCACAACGCAACTGAAAAATCATTATGCTATAAACAATGGAACCATGTCTGCTTTGGATTCTGATGCTATTCAAAGTAAGACAGAAATTGAATATTCAAATTTACAAGGAAAGTACAAGGTAATGACACCTTAGCTTTCTTGTTCTTAAATAATGCACCGACATAGGAAGATTGACTATTAGGTGGTGTTCATTTATATCCCTTGTCTATATTGGTTTTTGATAGATTGATTTCTTGATTTTATCCTATGTCTGAATTTCATGGAGTCCTCAACATGAGGTGAACCCCTCTTTTTATCCAATGGACATAGCGTATAATTTGGTATCTGTAGGTCTTTATAATGCAAAAACTTTGCATGTTTGTCTGGTCCTTTTGATTTATAACATTTTGATAGGTTTCTTTATATTCTTATTTTTAGTGGTGAGTGAACTTGACAACAGATGTATGAATGCCTTCTAGGAGCTTGCAGATTTGGTGGATGGAGAAAATAGGCCTATAGTAGCTACACAACATACACCAGATATAAGAAAGTTGAAGTTGGAACTAGAGCAAGAACACGATCAATTGGCAAACATTCAGCTAAAGTTCCAAGGTATTTTTATTTTGCATTTGGAACGTCTAAATTGTATCATATCGTGTGAATAGAAGCTGCCTAACTTTCTGATTCTTTATTCAATGTCAGAGGAACAGAAATTGAGCAAGTCTTTCCAGGAGGAGCTTAAAATATTAAAGTCAGAAAGAGACAAAGTGAGTTTATATTTGGGTAGATATATAGATTTTCGTGATCATGGTTGCAACATGTTTCCCTCACCACGCTTGTGTTTAAGGTTCATGTCTAGCATGATACATCATCTATATCAGAAGTTTCTTGAGATAACAAACAGATTATGTTTATATTATTGAGAGAACGTAATCTCAAACTTATGAGATCTATTAAAATAAAGCAATAGGTGGACATATGAAATGAATATTAGATTTCACTGCTGTGCATTTTGGGAAGTCTTGTGTTTGATACTTTTACCATTGCCTTATTGCTATCATTTTGGTCCTTTTAGTGACATAAATGCCTGAATGTTACAAAAAATCAATCAAGAGCACCTCAGTAAATTGTTCATCCTTTTAGGAATACCCTTTCAAATTGTGGCTTATTCATTTCTGTTAAAAGACTCATTAGGCACTTACTAATACTGGACTATAATTTTTGAAAAGAATTCTTTTCTCTAGTACTCAAGTATTTGATGGACACAAAACAATGAGATTGTGTCAAACTACCGACAAATCTGACGTTTCCTTTCTATCTAAAAAGAAAGAAAAAATAAAAAACTGGCTTGCTGTTATGAATTTAATAGCAGTCCAAATTGAAATTCTTCTATTTCGTATTTCACCTTTGAATATCAAATAAATTGATTGATAAATTATGGTAATAGAAAATAACAGAGAATATGGATAGCCTTTCCTAATGCATCAAAATTTCCATGTATTTTTTTTCTTCAAATGCTTTTAAATACTTGGGCTCCATTTTACAAAACGGTGGAGAGATTGATGAGGATGTAAATCACAGAATCAGAGCAGGGTGGATGAAATGGCGTAGTGCATCTGCATTTTTGTGTGACCGCAAAATTCCCCTGAAGTTAAAAGGAAAATTCTATAAAACGGCAGTACGACCGGCAATGCTATATGGAGCGGAATGCTGGCCAGCACATAGGCAACATGAGCATAAGATGGGAGTAGCAGAGATGAGGATGTTAAGGTGGATGTGTGGGTACACAAGGATGGATAAGATAAGAAATGAAGATATTCGACGAAAGGTCAGAGTAGTACCGGTAGCCGAGAAGATGAGAGAACATAGATTGAGGTGGTTTGGGCACGTGATGAGAAGACCCATGGATGCTCCTGTAAGAACAGAAGTTTGTTACCAAGAGCTAAACACAAAAAGAGGCAGAGGTAGGCCGAAGCTTACTTGGGGGAAAGTAGTAAAACAAGATTTAATGGAGTGGGATATAGATTGGCGGACAGTATGTCTTAGAAAGGAATGGAGAAAAGCTATAAGTATGGTGGAGGGTTAGACCCGCTGTTATTCCTATGTTCCAGATGGTCCCTTTTTAGTCCTTTTCCCCTTCATTTCCCCCACTTCTTCTTGTCCCTTTCTTTTTTACTTTTATTTATTTATATATACATATATTTTTATTTTATTTTATTTTATTTTATTATTTTATTTGTGTATTTTTATTTATTTATTTATTTATTTATTAATTTTTTTATTTTTTATTTTTTATTTTTTTATTTTTTTTTACTTTTTTTCAACCGTTTTGTATTTTTCATGTGGGTTCATCTACCACCGACCCCAATTAATTTGGGATAAAGGTGTTGTTGATGTTGATGTTGAATATTTTTTGAAACTGAGAAGGAATGACTTGACTATTTTCTGGCTTACATTCTAAATTCTTCTATTGCATCATTGTGTGATGAGTCTTTTCAAGGAATTTACACTTTTGCAATGTCATGGGCTGGGTTATATAGTTTTTGGTCATCTAACCTTTACATATATCATATTATTGCTCGGAAGACATTGAAGGAGATGGCCAAAATACGTAATGAATTGAATGAGAAAGTATCAGAAGTAAAGCGTCTGCAATCTGAGTTGACTGGACGGGAAAACAAAGAAGCAGCTGAGGATGTGGATAGCTTGAAAAGACTTATCAAAACCTTAGAGAAGGAAAACACCACTCTTAAGGTTGGTAGATTCTTGCATTACTTTACTTAATTGCAACATAGAAAGTTTCTACTGTCTTGTCCCTCAAAAATTGATAATGATGATTTTGTGTTATTTGCATCAAATTGCACTCTAATGTGATCCTATTCCCCTTGTTATTAGATGGAAAATAATGAAATTGAGGCTGCTCTTGAAAAAAGCAGGAAGTCTTTCACAGATAAAATGTTGTCTGATGCTTCTCAGATTCAGAAAAAGGATTCAAGCAGTATCAGTGATGTGAGCAAAAGCTTTATAGCAACATGTAGCATACAGGTTGTGCATTCTGATCATGTAAATAATTTTTTTATTCTTTTCTTTTTTGGGGATGGGGCCCTTTTTTTGGGTAACAGATGCCAGATCATTCCAAGAGTTTTCCAGGAAAGGAAGAAATGGAAAGATCATTAGAGAAGCTAAGTAAAGATTTGAAGGAGACACAGCGGGACAGGGACAAAGCAGTACAAGAATTGAGTCGGCTGAAACAGCATCTACTAGAAAAGGTTTCATTCTTTTTACTATTATGTCTTATTTTATTTTCTAAAGCAGAACCAATGATCAGTGAGCATGACATTCATGAGACAAATGTTGTCCCAATTATCTTTATTAGCGTAGCTTTTCTACTACTGCCTGATATTGTTATAATATATTAGTCTGTAGTCTAGTTCTGGATGTATTAGGTTACTCACACCTTAGTCTGTTGATTAGTTTATTTTAGGTGTTGGTTACTGATTAGTTTGGATGCTGACTCATAGCTGAGTCACTCCAGCTCTATAAATAGAGCTTGTAATCTCACAATGTGTAATTCATTCTTTTCGTTCAGCGTATATCAATATTAGGCCATCTCTTCAGAACTCTCTCTCTCTCTCTCTCTTCACTTTCTTCCATTTTCTCTCAGTTTCTCACCCTTTCTCATCAAATCTTAATAATCTTAATTTTTCATTTGTGTATCTCATTAATTATACGATATATATTTGAGATACATTTTCCGTGTTAATTTCACCTGGCTTGTACCCCTGTTAACTGAATGAATGCAGTTGACTATGGATTATTATACAATCAGACTGAGTCACATTAATTAAATTTGTGTTGGTAGTCAGACTCTTGTTAATTAGTAATGCCCAGTTACCCTTTCAACATTTTCTTTTCAGCAATCATATTTATTTTGATGCGTATTTTATCTAAAGAGTGATGATATGCATTATAATGGTAATTTGTTGTACTTTGTTGAACTACCTTTTTAGTTTTTGTTAATGCCCAAGCGGTGTTCATGATTTAATTGCTGTCCTTCTGTACTTTGGCTGGATTTGTTGGGCTACTGTTTGTGTGATAATTTTTTCTGACTTTTATTGTTTCATCTATTTTGTAATACTATCTACGGGATCAGTGTCTTTTTTCTCCATTATTACCTAAGTGTGAATGAGTTCAAATTGCATTCGTCCTGGATAGATTTAGTATATCACTCTTTCTGCAGCATCAGCCATGTTTTCCTTGCTGCTTTTTATTTAGGAATTAGAAGAATCAGAAAAAATGGATGAGGACAGCAAAGTCATTGAAGAGCTACGTGATAGAAATAATTATTTAAGGGCTCAGATATCACATTTTGAGAAAACACTAAAGCAAGCAATTGCAAGTCAGGAGGAACTGAAGATGGCAAACAACAACGAAATTCTCAAGTTGAGGGAAATCATTGATGACCTGAACAAGAAGCTTACAAACAGTATGGGCACAATAGATGCTAAGAATATTGAACTTTTAAATCTACAGACAGCTCTTGGACAATACTATGCTGAAATTGAAGCCAAGGTATAAAAACATGCCATTCTTTCATTGTTTTAGTCATAAATTAATAGTAAATTTAAAAGATAGTTTGGTTATTAAATTTTTTTTTCCTCTTACATTATTTTTTATACAGTTCGCTCTTACATTTTTATGTCAATTTTTTTTCTAACTCCATGTGCATGTCTCTACTATGGTTACATTTGAGTAAACTTACATGCACTATATTTTATTATTTTTATCTCCTAGGAACATTTAGAAGGGGAGGTGGCTCGTGCAAGAGAAGAAACAGCTAAGCTTTCTCAACTGTTGAAAGTATGACTCTCTCTGTCTCTAAATACAATGGAGTACAGACCACCTGGATGTGCTCTTATTACTTTATATGCATATATATTTGTTGATTTTTTATTCTCATGTTTTCCTATTCTGCAGTCTATATATTTTCTTTTCTATTATTACTTAAAGCTTTATGCATCTGTATTACCTCTCATTGTTCCCCAAATTTTGCTTTTCTTGACTGAAAAAGGATAAGTTAACTTTTGGCATTTCTGATTTAGTAACACATAGATTAAATGGTTATTGCTATTACCAGGATGCAGATCACAGAGCAGATGTATTAAGGGTTGAAAGAGAAGAAATTTTATCCAAGCTTTCACAATCTGAAAAAGCACAAACTGAATGGAGAAGTAGAGTAAGTAAGCTTGAGGAAGACAATGCCAAATTGAGGCGAGCTCTTGAGCAGAGTATGACACGGCTAAATAGAATGTCAGTGGATTCAGATTATCTAGTTGACAGGTTAGCCTGTTTGTGTTTTTACTTCTTAGAGTGTTTTTCTTGCAATATCTGCTTTACCATGTGATTTATAATAAATAGATGAATTCCTCGGAGGGGTATTTGCTACATTATCTTTCTCTTTCATTTCCTAACAAGTTAATTGTTTGAGTCTTCTAATTATGAATTTGGGCTGAATTTAGAATTGGGATAATTTCTGTTATTATGTTGCTTCTGTTTGATATAGAAAATTATTGTACTATTGGTTGCAGGCGCATTGTGATAAAATTACTTGTAACTTATTTCCAGAGAAATCACAGCAGAGAGGTATGAAAATCTTCTAATCTTGTTACTTCAGATGCATTGTGCTGGACTGGAATGGAAGCCCCATATCCTTTATCATACACGAAACTAACATAATTTGTGTGTGCACGTGTGCGCGAATGAATGCCAGGGGTGGCTGAGAGCACGGTTTCATGTACTCAGTTAATACTCCAAATTTCTTATAAATATGGTTAGCATTTTAACCATGTAAATTTGTATATAGTAATTATGTCCATGAGGAAGTCTATCTGACAATAAGGGATAAGAATGTTGGGATAGGCTCTGAAGAACTGGTAATTAGACACATGAAACACAATGTTAGTTCATTTTTTAACCTGTTTATTGGAAAGGCTATAAAATTAAATTCTTCACTTGCATTTGTTTACTTCTTGCAGCTTGCTATGATTGCTTTCCTTAACTTGTACTGCTGATGTTGGCTGTGTTCTTCTATCTGGTTTGTTTAATGTCTTGCTCAAGTTGATCCCGCACTTAATGTTTGTGATATTGGGGACAGGTTTTGGATCTTATGGTTCGCATGCTAGGATTCTCTGATGAGGATAAGCAAAGGATAGGTGTTGCTCAACAAGGTGCAGGCAAAGGTGTTGTTCGTGGAGTTCTTGGGCTGCCTGGCCGCCTGGTTGGAGGCATTTTGGGAGGAAGTTCGACTGAAGCAGCTTCAAATGCGGGATCTGATAACCAGGTGATTCCTTTTGATCTGGTATAACTTGTTCTCCTTTGGTTACGTATGGCTGTTTTTGAGCAGAATTCAAGAGTAAACTGCAATAACCATTGATGAGAAATTTTAGGGTGTAGATTTACATGATTCTATGGATTATTATCTAATTGCTTGTAGCCTTGTACTTTATAAATTCAATTCAGCCAATGATTTTTTCCACTCACAGGACCAATTTTTTTGTTTTTTTACTGCACTCGATTCTAGAACTTTCAAGTTTTCTTATCATGAATTTAGCTTTAATCAAGTACTTTTCTTCTTGCAGTCCTTTGCAGATCTGTGGGTTGATTTTCTTATGGAAACGGAAGAAAGAGAGAAGAGAGAATCAACAGGAAATACAGGTAAAGCTACTGAAGATTCACATGATAAAAGTCCAAATACAATTTCTGCTGCTGCACCATTTTCCAATCAGAGATTTAGCACTGGAACCGCATCTGCATCTGCTTTTCCAAGTACCTCAACTAATCAAAACATCAGTCCTCCCCCTCGTCGCTATTTTCGGCATTCTGAACATTTTGGTTCTGAGTTCTCAACAGTTCCTCTTACATCATCTGATGGCAAAACTACTGGTTCAAACCCGCTTCCTAGACACTAAATATACATTGGATTATGGAATTGATCAAAGGTATATATAATTGTTTGTTAAATTGTAGGCATGCAATCTTGTTCAATTAATTCTTTCACATTCAAAATGAGTGTATTTTTCACAAAAGGAGGAAGGGGAACTGCGAAAATCTTTTCGTTCCATTACTTGTCATCTCGTGTGGTTCACGTACATAATATCATTCCTATCTCTTTAATGTATATAGTTCAATTTGTACTAGTTCGCAGTTATAATATAATATCTATTTTGTAATGTATATTTTGATATGATCCTATATTTTTCATAGAAAGTTGCTTAACGTGTAATCATGTTATGGGAATATGTTAACCTGAAAACTTCACTTTTTTATATTAATTTGCATTCTTTTCTCCTTGAAATTGTCCTGAAGAAATTATTTACTAAAGAATGGCAAGAAAGTTGCTTAACGTGTAATCATGTTATGGGAATATGTTAACCTGAAAACTTCACTTTTTTATATTAATTTGCATTCTTTTCTCCTTGAAATTGTCCTGAAGAAATTATTTACTAAAGAATGGCAAGAAAGTTGCTTAACGTGTAATCATGTTATGGGAATATGTTAACCTGAAAACTTCACTTTTTTATATTAATTTGCATTCTTTTCTCCTTGAAATTGTCCTGAAGAAATTATTTACTAAAGAATGGCAAGACTTGTTACACAAACTTTTACAATACAATATCATCAATTTACACTCATCAAACCCATTCATTTTAAGTAATCATTTCTCATTGATAAATTACATGGAAATCTTACAATTTGATTTTTTTTTAAATTAATGACAACTAATTCATCTCACCGATTCATTATAATTTATTTATAAAGAGTTTTTTTGAATTAAGATAATTTATAAAGGAAAAAATAACTTTTTCTTTTAGCCTTATAACTTTTACTATTTGATTAGTTACAGTTAGATTAATTTGAAATCAACAGTTGAAAAATAAAAAAATTAATTATAGTTAATTTCAAATTAATTATTAGCTATAGTTAATTTCAAATTAATTCAATAATAATCAATCAAATAGTAAAAATTGTAAAGCTAAAATAGTAATATCTATAACTATTTCCTATTTTTTTAATCACTTTTACTACTCTCATTGGGTATGTTTTAACTTTTAACTTCTAAGAAAGGGGAGAAATTATTATCTTTCTTCGTACACTAATCAAGAGAGAAAGAAATGGAAGAGGTGAGAGAAATAAAAATGAGCTAGGCCCATCTCGGTTGAAGGATAGTAACTTCTCATATTCCTACAACAAGAGAAGTTATTATCTCCCTAAAAATTTAAAATATAAAATATCATAAAAAAATACCTAATATCTAAAAAATTAAAAAGTAATACAAATTATTAAGATAATTGAATAAAAAAATAAAAAATAATCCTTAAATTCTCACTTAGAGCAAACATTGAAAAAAATTAAAATAAATAAGAATGTATTTATTTGAGTTATAATAAATTTAAAATTATAATGCCCTTTTAATTAAAATAAATATCCACTTAGTCGTTTATTTTTTAAAAAAATTATTTTGAAGAAACATTAAGCTAAAAAATCACGTTCACCATGTCGTAAAAGGAATTTGAGTATCTACTCCATTCAAATATTGAAAAGAAACAGGTTGAATCCTAAAAGAGTATAAGACTTGATTTGTGTGCATTCTAATTTGCAGCATTTGACCAGAAAAGCTGATGTACACAAGCAAGGTAATACTACGATATTGTAGCCATGAATCACATTAATGCAATTTAGGAATCTAAGCTTTTCCCTTGATTTAATCAAAGGAAAAATTAAAATATAATCAAATGCCAAACATTTTAATCGAAGAAAAAAAAACATATGAATATTTTTTAGCTTACAGCAACAGTGATTTATCGAAAGACTACAGAACAAGTCCAACAAACATTGTAGCCAGCAAAATCCATATGCTTATAGCAAAATCAAAAACCACGTCTCGAAGATAAACCCATGGGTGCCATGGCACCCACCGGGCTAAAATCAACCCAAAACATGGGTTGCTGTATGATAAAGGAGACGAGGCTCCTGCGTATAAAAAACAGTCAAGTGGAGCTCCTCCTTTTTTCCTTAAGAGGACAAATCCTTGAACACTAAGCTAACTTCTTGCCTTCCAAGGGACCTTTTGGGATCTTACTCAAGACCTTTGCATCAAAAACGGCATACTGCTTTTTAATCTCAATGATTACCTTTTCTGCCAGAGGATCTATCTTATCCTCATATTTATCATACACGACAGGAACCGTGTGCAACAAAACAAAAGCTGCTCAGCAAAGGAAGATTATGAAAATCAGTAAAATTCCATAGTTCATAACCAAAAAAGATTATGAGAATAAAACTATTCTTACTTACCTATGTAGAACAAAGTCAAGAAATTGCACCAGTTTCCCACAATTGATAGAACCCATAAGCCAACAATAACCTAACAGAACATCAGCAAAAGAATCCTCAGCAAAAGACAACAACATGTCAACAATAGTTCAATACTTAATGAAAGCTGAACTAACAATAAATTAGGAATCATAGGTACACCAATCTGTAGTCCTACGAAAGTTGTAATTTCAAGGCAACATCTTTGAGAGTTGCAATTGCAAGAAATTAGCATTTAGCCCACATAATTTACGAAGATGGCAAACCCCAATGCACAAGGCTCTTAAGATGAAGGTCAATTGTACGCAGTTTTACCCTAATATTTTTGCAAAAAAGATCTTCCTAAGTCTCGAACCTACCGGTCATGAAGGAGCAACCTTACCGTAGCTTCAAGGCTTGCCTTCTATAATTTATGAAGATGACTTATGAAAAAAGAATATATAATATGCATGGAATTAGAAGTTCACAGGTCACATACAATGAGGAAATTCTTCAAATCTCTTCCAGAACCAATATCACGGATCGCAGCAATGCCGCGGTTGATTTCGATTCTCAGTGCAGATGCAACTTGCAGAAATGGTTCTTCGGGTAGATGAACTACTGGGATTTTAGGCGGAGTCCTGCAATGTTATTTGATATTACACGCAAATGGTTAGATAAAAAAAGCATATCCCAAAGTAAACACGCCTATGGATTGGTTCAATAGATTAAAGTTTCCAGGTTCTTACTTGTGAATAAAGGTATGAGCATTGGACCATAAAAACAAAACCGCAAGCAATAGAATCAAACTGTGACAGACTAGAGTAAGAAAATGATATTCAAGCAACTCAAAAAAGATCCAAACAGCAGTCACTCCGCTAAGTACACCAGCAGATATCTTCTTGTTCCTCCACAAGAGAACGTCAGCAGCTGCAATTATCGATTACACAATAAAATAAATAAGAAATAAGAAATAATATAATTAAAAAAAAAAATCAAAATCTCAACGGTTAAAAGAATGAAGTGATTTATCAATTGAATCCTATTAGAGAACCATACGACAAGCAAATGCTCCTTAAATTCAATGGTAATAAACCTTGAAGAACAGAATTAAACAAAAATGTAGCATTCAAAATCTACTTTTCACCGATCCGTGAATTATATATATGTAGCAACTCCACTGAATCAGCTCACATTATAGATCTACCAAAACCATAAGTAAACAGAGTACATGGAGAGAGAGAGAGAGAGAGAGAGAGAGAGAGAGATTTATACGTTTTCCACCGCCGAGGACAGAATGAAGAGGCTTCTCCCTCCCGAAAAGACGATAAACCTTGTCCTTAATGGACGAAGCGACCGGTTTCTCGGGATCGGAGGAGGAATCGTGACCATGAAGCTTCTCGGTGATCTTCTCAAGCAACGATTCGCCACTCGCCGCCGCCGCCGCCTCCGCCGGCACTGTTTTCTCTTGTTCCTCCGCCATTCTCTCCCAAAACCCTAAATCTTCGAATTCGGAAACAGAAGAAACGGAAGCTTTTTCCCTTTTCAGTGAATATAGAAGTTTTGGATCGATAATCTCGGTGGGCTCTTTTATAGTGTTGTGAATAATGAGGTTTGGGTTCCGAAGCTGAGGTTTGGATGATATTTGAATCTGCTACGACTAGGCGTTGAGTTTTGGAGTTGGCTCCTAATTAAGCAATTAACGACTAACTATTAATTTTTTTTTTTTAACTACGAATTATTTTTATATTAATAATTAAGGATACGGTTATTTTTATAACCTTAAATGTTTATAATATTTTTTAACTTATTCCTTACCGTTGGATTATTTTCTTAATTAACGGTTCACAATTATTTATATGGTTTATTTTATATTTTTAGAATGTACAAGTTAAATAAATTAATAAATGATATATTATTATTTTATATTTGAAAATAATGATAAATTAATTATTAATTTAAATTATTCAAGTTATGCAAATTTATTTTTTCTTTCCTAATTTTCAAATAAAAAAAAAGGTCACTGGTTGTCAGTGATTCGTGCTGTGCAGAGTCACTATGGCGGTGGGTGCTTTCCAAAAGTCACCGACAGGAAAAAGGTGAAGAGACAGGTGGCGACTCAATCGAAGACTTGGACGGCTGATCCTTTTTGCAAAGTCACCAAAAGTATAATAATATACAAAGTTATTTTCATGTATTAGTAATATAAAATAGGGTTTTATAAGAGTTATGTGGTAGGAAAAGTGATTGTGTAATGTTATAGAGATTCGTTTTGCGTGCTTTAATTTTTTATTTATTTTTTTGTTTTAAAAAGTGTGGGCCTCACGAAATGTGTGAGTGTAGAAAAGTTTGTTGTGTTATGTTAAAGGATAAAATGAAACCCTATAAAATAAGGGATTAATATTTCTGATTATAGGAGATAAATATTTTTCTCAAGTATGTGAAATTTATATATATATATATATATATATATATTCACATGGCTTTATATGACCTTAATATTTTTTTTTATACATATGTAGGAGATAAAATTATCTCTTGTAATATGATAAATATAATCCAATAAAATAATGGAGAAAAATATACTTATCGCTAAAAAAATATAATTGATTGAGAATTATTGGATCGCTCTTATTAATTAATTATTAATTTATAATAAATTATAACTGTTAGATTGACAGAAGTTAACAATGATTAAGTTGGTTGTAGGGGTGGTAAATTTTTGTAGTAGTAAGTATATCCTGCCCCATAAATAATTATATTAATATTTATCATGTTCTAGAAAATAATTTTATTTTATATTTATATATATGGGTTCTATATATTTTTATATGTATGAGAAATAAAATTATCTCTTATAATATAAGAAATACTAACCCCTAAAATAATCTATGTCATTAATCTAATAGTAATATAATAGTTTATACATTTTTAATACAAAAAATGTTTACTAATTTTAAAGACACAAGCTTATGTAATTTTAAATGAAACGATCATATTTTAATGTATATTTATTAATATTTTAGATTCTATCTTCTCCACAATGCTTTCTATTTTTTCCTCTTCTAGTTTTGTATATGAATGAGAATGTAAAAAGTCAATAAATATACACCAAAATACAATTATTTCTCTTAAAATAATACAAAAACGTGTTCTTTAGAATGACAAATATTTTTGCTAGAATAGGAAAAAGTGTATGTTATTTTAAATGACACTGCTAATATATTTGATGATTTTTTATATTTTCTCTCCTTCATAAAATTAGGAAGAGAGAATGTAAAATCAAATATACACTAAAATAATGTCGTTTAATCTAAAAGGATATATATTTGTGTCATTTAAAATGGTAAATATTTTTTCTTTTTAATATGTCTATGTAATATTATTTTATATGATTTTAACATCAAAATATGGAGGGTATCGTCTAACAGTTATAATATGACATTATATGACATAGAAGGGATGGTACATGACCTATGAATTATCATAAATCAATTTTCTTCGAGTCGATCATTTTAACTTGGGATAATTATTAAAAAAATATAGTAAAGCTAATTTTGATGCAGCCATGACCTCGTTAAGATGCTTGGGCAGCTGCAGCCGGTAGATTTATTCAATCATAAAGCTAAACCGATATGAGTGAGAACAAGAAATGTTAATATTCAAATTCTCGTGGAGGCTGATGTTTCGGTTGATGTTACACCCCCAAGGTCGCATCTATCTATAGGGAGTTTGTGAAGTGCTTATGGCAGGTTTGAATAACTAGGACTATGACATGGCTTGCCCGATTGGAGCAATATGCAAATATTGCAAGACGTCACTAAATATTCAACTATGAAAGTGCCTCAATGAATAGGCATTGAACTATATATTCAACTATGAAGCTCATTATTGACATATATAGAATAGACATTTCTAAAAATCTATGAACACAAAACAAAGACAACTCTCTAATATTCAAAACTTGACCTGTCTCAAATATTAACCGAGAATGAAGAATGTTGAAAACCGCATAGGCAAGAAGATATCACTATAATGTGAGATCAACGGAATGGCCTAGGAGGCTTTTCTAAAACAGCAGAGAAGAACATCTCCTTATCATCCTTATCAAGCTTTGGAACAACAACCCATTTGTGCTTCTTATATCTCAGCATTTTGAAGGCCTGCAAGTAATCATGTAAATCTTCTTTCAAGCAGAAAAAACTATCAATCCATAATAACCCCCCTGGTCTCAGAACTCTATCCCAGTCAAACAATACAAAATCCAGGAGAACAAAATCAATCCACCCGTCTAGGAATCTTGTAGTGTGAATCAAATCTAGGGTGTTGTCAAACAATGGTAGCCTTTGATTTATAGTTAAGTAGAGAGGAACAAGTCCTCTAAGAGCTATCATTTCACTGAAGGGTGCCCCAAGATTGATAGTGGCTGAAACTATTGTCACATTGAATTCCCTCATCCTAGCAGCAAAAGTCCCAGTTCCAACACTGAAATCCAATCCTATTCTGATTTCTCCTGGCTTAACTCCAAGAACCTCAGATATAAGGAAATCAGCTGTCTGGTTTGAATCAGTCTCCAATCTTACCCATCTGGGCATCTCATGATGGATGAGATTGAAGCAATCTGCACATTTGAAGAATCCCTTACCAGTGGTGTTGCTTGCTAGACAAGCAAAGTTCTTGCACCGGTATTGACTCCATCTAACATTTCTATCATCAGGGAGTTTCCACATGGACTCGTTGATGGGGAATGGTTGGTTGTATAGCTTGGGGGATCTTGAGAAGCACCTTCTCCTTGGTAGAGGATCACACCCATGAACCATAAGCTTTTGAGCTAGCTTCCAATCATCCTTGCAGATTTCTCCAATATCATAATCCATGTATTCTTCTAGCTCTTCCTTCATTGCAAAGCAAGCATGGCCTATGCTGGTGAAGGTTGCATTTGCCCCCATGAAATTTTGTTTTCCTAATCTGTTTGGCTTGATCTTGACATACTTGCGAAGCTCTTCTCGCAGGAAGTAATCAGCAGGTTCATCAGATTGTTTCTTTTCTTTCAAGAGAGGATGAACTGTGAAACTACCATTTTGCTGTTTACCCCTTTCTCTTTGCAGATGAGACGTCGCCATTGACTCGAGAAGTCCTAATATGTCAGCAAGAAAGGCACCTTGTTTCAATGGAGATGGTGATGATGATGGATCCCGTTCTGTTTCCCTCAGTTTGTCCAGCTCCTCTTGAATTTTCTGAATTACAATTTGCACAGTTATCATCACTTCATTTTCATTCCCATTTGGGCATTCAGGATTCAGATGGGTGTATAAAGATTCAGTACCAAGAAACGATTTGAAGGAGAAGAACTTGGATATGGCAGCACCAGAGAGGAGAAGAGCAAGAGCACCCGGTACAAAGATAAAAAGGTAAACACCTCTCCATCTTTTTAACTTTGTATTAACATTCTGTTTTGTCATTCCCTTATCTTCAGGTTTGAGAATATCGAAAGATTTCATGCGTTCTTACATAAAAGTATTGAGAGACAAGTTCTCAAAGGACACATACCGTGATGTTGAGATATGCAGTTTCAGATTAAGAAATGACTGAACGTATCCAGCTCAAGAAGAAGATACTCATACAGCCATAACATCAAAATTGAAATTGAGATAAGGCCAGGAAAGTAAATCATGGGATAATACCTTGAAGCTGATTACTTTGACGGTGAAAGAATGAAGTGTGTTATTCTCTAAAGTTATGGTAAACCAGGATGAAAAACTGCGAATAGTGGATATTGAGAATGGATTCCATATCCTAAGCATGCTAATAAATAGAGTTTGGATCTTGCCTAGCCGATTATCCAAGCATCCTAGTGATTGCTTAACAAGTACTTAAATTTCAGTCAGCAAAAAGTGATTGTCAACGCATAAACATATCTTACATCTAAGGTAACCACAACTTGTTGAAAATAATATGTGATTCAACTCTTAAACGGATCTAGAGGAACGCTACTAGCATGAAACTAGGAAATGCCACTGCTTTGAGAAAGGGCTGGCACATGCACACTATACATATATATACATATAATGTTCTCACTGCGAAAAGTATGAAGTGCAGCTGAAGCTAAGGATAAAATATAATTCACCACTTAAGCTGGTTTAGCGAATATTTCATGAGCACACGTTACTGTGCTCATGCATGTGCTAGGGATCCATAATCCGTTGACAATTTGGCATTCTCTATGCTGAATAGGATATTACATCTAATTCCTGTAATTAAGGATAACAGAACGAGAATATTGGGCCAAAAGCAAGGGCAGAAGAACTTGTCCCGAGAATGAATGTGTACCAAATACAAGCTGTCTACAAGTAACAACTAAATGGGTCCATGAATAGATAAAGGGAAAATGAACCGTAGGAATTTCTTGTTCTAAATAGAGGCAGATTAAGACAAAGTGAAAAGAAAAGAAAAAACAAAACAGTATGGTTGTAATGTTCTCAACAAGGGATTCATTCTACTGTGACATGTGGGTCAAACTGCTACTGACTTAGTAGGTAACCAGTCAACAAAACAGTCCAGGACAAAATTGATGAAAAAGTCAATGTCAAATCATCAAAAATATGATACAATAGAACAAAACGCAGATGATTTTACCATTAAAAAAAGTTGAACGGACAAAAAGTATCATCGTAACCCTTATCCAACATTCATTGAGGCAAGCAATAACTGAAGCAGTTTTAGTTGAAAATTTGGTGTTCTGTAAAAGACAAATTTTTTCAAAAAAATAAACAAAAAACACTTGCACCATTGCATTCCAGGGACAATATCAATTAAAAAAATAGAAGAAAAGTTCAATATCAAATCAACCAAAATATGATACACTACAACAAAACGCAGATGATCTTCCATTACAGGGACAATCAGGGCACTAACAATAAGTTCACCCTAAGATTAATGGGCAACAAGCATCATTGTAACCCTTGTCCAAGATTCATCGAGGAAAATTTGATGTTCTATGAAAGACCCAAAAAAAAAAAATTTGAATCACATCATCAAACCCCTAAGCAAATAACATCTACCAGATACAATGTTCACCAGCAAATCAACCACCTCATCATTTTTTCCCTGAAAAAAAAAATTAAAAAAAGGAAAAAGAAGAAGAAGAAAAACTCGCCATCTCTCACTAGCAAAACCCAAAAACCCACATACCCAAAGAAGAAAAGTCACCTAATTCCCCTTCTATCAGCGGCGTACTGAGAGAGCGGAACCACCTCCTGCAGCGGCGTCGAGAGCGGCGTCGGCATGGGGGAGTTCCGGCAAACGGGGCAAGACCCATTGAGCTTCAACCAAGAATCGAGGCAACAGAGATGAAAATAGTGGCGACACTCCGGCATCATCCTCAGCATCTCCGATTCCTTGTACTCACACAAACAGATCGAGCACGTGGTGTCGTGTCCCGCATCCTTAGCGTACCGGAACCTCGGATACGAGTTTATGACGTTCTGGTCAAGACCCATAACGATGTTGTCGCCGCCGTCACGCTGCTGGTCTTCGTCGTCGTCCTCCGCCACGAAGATTATCCGCGGCAGAACGACGCCGTCGGAGTTGGTGGGGTTGTGAGTGCCGTTGCGGTTGCGGTTGCGGTGGCGGAGAGTGCGGCAGCATAGGTAGGAGCAGAGGATGAGCGTTGAGAAGAGGAAGAGGAAGCCGAGGGCGATGGCGATTGAATAGCCAAAGCCGAGATTGGTGAGGTAGGTGGTGGGGGGTGGAGAATTAGGGTAAGAGGAGGACATTGAGAAGAAGAAGAAGAAGAAAAGGGATGAAATGGGGAATTCTCCATTTGTGTAAGGAGAGGTAAGGGAATTAGGAAGGTTCTTCTTGTTGTGATATTTTTTTGAGGGGCACAAGGGTGGGTGGGGATTTCAGTTGCTGCATTTAATACTGGGGTTACTCATTTCTCTAACTGCATTTAATTGTTGTTGTTGCTGTGGTGGTGGATTGGTGAAAGACTTTGGGTCTTTTTTGGAACTTGGAAGTGGAGGGAAACACTAATACTAGTTTACTATTATTTTACATTACTGAAAGAGACTTTTTTAATATTCAGGAATGATGCACTTTTTCTGATCATCATGGTGGTGAAGAATTGAAAGTTTAGTAGTGTGAGAGAAAGAAAGAAAGAAAAAGGTTGGAATTTGGGAGTGAATAAAAAGGTTTTGAGGTGTGATGTGGGGGAAGGGAAGTGAGTGTAGATGAATCAATCAACCATTTGGAGCTAGTTGGAATTTTACATGTACAGAGAATCTGCATGTCTTGCAGCAAAGAATCTCTTGCCAACTTGAACCTTTGAATATAAACCATAATCTTAGTTGGAGTTTGGGTTCATACATTGTATTAAAAAATTTACACAGGGACACTATTATATTGAGGGAGGATATTTTGACTACCAAAAGTTTCCACTACCACCTTACTACCTATCTATTTACCGTTGAATTAATATTTTCTCTCTCTTCAAAAACTTTTTAACATTCTCTCTTTGATCCAATGGTGATTTGATAGGTAGTAAGGTGGTAGTGGACACTTTTAGTAGTCAAAATATCCCCCCTCTATTATATTAGTTAGAAACATGTCTGTGACTAGTTCCTTAAAATTAGTCCGTTATAATACTGACACAACATTATTTTAATTAAATAATTAGCAGATATAATATTTAAAAGAGAATAATTCGTTTACAATTTTTTTTATAAATTACATTAAGTATGATCGGTCATACACTCTTTATTAGTGTATAATCGGTCAGACATAATATAATTTAAAAAATTTATAAACAAAAAATTTATAAATATAACGTTTTTCATATTTGAAAGGTGATAAATTAGCTTGAGTGTGGACGACCAAGCACTTAATTAATATAATAAGACAAAACAGTTAATCTATTCTAACTTTTTCTAAAAAATTTACATAAATAATGTTGTTGCTAAAGTATTTACTGCAATAAGTTATATATCTAATGCACACCTGTTGCATTGCATGGCACATTTTCATGAGTTATGTACATCTTTTGCACAACTATCACGTAATATAGCGTGTGCAACTCTCCCACCCTGTATCACCCTACTTAAACCAATTTCATAACCTCCACTCCCTTTCTAATATTCATTCTCAAGGGGGCTCTTTCTTAATTGTTCTTTGACTCTTCTATTCAATTTTTTTATAGTTATAAAATTATAGTGCTTAATGTGTACGGTAGTGATATTTGGTATTGGTAGTGACATGTTTAGGTAAGACAGATAAATTAGTTTTAGATAGAAATCATAGAATAGTGATGCTTATATTTTTATTTTATTTTTTATTTTTTTATACATAGTGATGAATAGTGTTGTAATAATTAAACATTATTTAATAAAGAATGGATATTGAATAATAATAATAATTAATTACTAATTAATTTTTTATCATTTAAACTATAAATAATATGTTGTTATGAATAATAATTAAATGTGTTAGTTAATTATTTTTATAAATAATATTTTATTTATTAGTTGATAAAATAAATATTAATGTTTAGTGAGTAATTTAATAATCAATATATGGTAATTGTGTCACATAACAACATTATTACCATAATCGTGGGGAAGCGCAATTGAGAGGTAGTTGTCATAGATGATTATGATTATATCAACATTGCACGATTTTAGTGAGTTGTGCACGAGACGTGCGGTATGATTTTTAGACCCTTTTATTTTTTATTAATTAATTAATAATTACTTTGTCTTTTATTGAAAATTATCTATCAATTTGTCTCTCTTTAATCGATTAACTTAAATATTTAATCGATTAAATGATTGACTCGAGATTTAATCTCTTAAGTAAAACTAATTAATTTGAAAACACTTTCTCAAAACCCTTGTGTCTGTTTGATCAAAGTAAAAAACACAGCCAAAAGAGATAGCAATTCATTCAGAACACCATTATCGTCTTTCTTTCTTTTTGATTTTCCAAGGAGTGGTTTTTCGGAGAAGAACCAAGATTCATAGCTTGCCTGTCATTTTTGTGTAGTACTTCTAAAAAAGAGATATTTTTGTCATTTTTTATGGGGTTTGCATTTGTCATTTAATATGACACAACAAACTTTTCTACACGCAATATTTTGTGGAGCACACATTTTTTGAAGAAAAAAGAAAAAAAGAAATTACGGAACGCAAAACGAATCTCTATAACATTACACAATCACTTTTCCTACAACATAACTCTTATAAAACCCTTTTTTTATAATATATATATAGGATTTATACTTCTTAGTCAATATAATTTTTTTTTTCAACATACACATACTCAGATGGACTTTATTGAAAAAATAAAAAATAAAAACATTAGCATGCAAAATAATGTGAGTGTAGTATGAAGATACTCTTCTTATGTTTCATAAAAAGTATATATATAATTTTTTTTTCAACATGCACATACTCATGTGTACTTCACTGAAAAAATAAAAATAAATAAATAAAAATATTAGCACGCAAAATGATGTGAGTGTAGTATGAAGATATTCTTCTTATGTTGCATAAAAAGTATATATATGTATATATATATGTGTGTTCGCTTTTTTTGCAGTTATTTGCAGTAAGCCTAATACGACATCGTTTTGGGACGAAAATCATGGTATTTTTGTAATTTTAATTTATTTCAGGATTATTATAGTCTTTATAATTATAATTTTTTAATCTCAAAACGACGTCGCTTTAGGAGTAAATGCAAATAACTTATCTGCAGTAACTGTAGAAATACTATTCTATATATATATATATTTTTTTTTTCATGTTGTAAGAGAGAACTCTCATATCAGTAATTATTTGATTTTTGTGCAGTATTTTCTTTTTTCTTTTTAAAATAAATATAGTCCCTACATAAAATGTATTTATAGCATGAAATACATACTTATATCTTATTATATGAGAAAATCGAAATCGTCTAGCTTGAAAGTGAAATAATGATACTAATGATAAGGATAAAATTATTTTTATTATTTCTAAAAGGGGTTTGCATTTGTCATTTAACATGATACAACAAATTTTCCTACACACACAATATTTTGTGGGGGCCCACACTTTTTGAAGAAAAAAGAAAAAAAAAAGAAATTATGGCACGGAAAACGAATTTCTATAACATTACACAATCACTTTTCCTACAACATAACTCTTATAAAATCCTTCCTAAAATACATTATTTGTATTATGACATAAATTTATGTCAGTGATTATGGCAAAATTGTTCCGTCTCTAATTTCGTCTTTACTTTTGGTTGAAGTTTTTTGTCGTATATGATTTTCATCAAAAAATTCATCACTAGATGAAATTTTTGAAGAAATATTTTTCGTCGATAAATTCTGTCAGTGTTTGATACTTTTCTAATAATGTCACATTTAAAAATGACTCACATTTATGTAGTTTTTACATTTTAATGCTAAGGGTAGATAAGTAATTTTTAATATTTTTCCCCTCAAACCTCCCAAATTTGGGGAACTTTAATTTTAAGAAGAAGGAGGGTTTAGTAAAAATCCCCAATTCCCTCTCCTCATTTTTTAAAACTCACAAACAAAAAAAGAATTTACTAAAACCCTCATTTTCCTTTTCTTCCCCTCCTAAAATCAACTCCCAAACAAGCCTCAGGCGGTTGCATGTTTGGTTACTTTATTAACCTTCCGATAAATCAAAATTGCCTAAAATTACTTTCAAATTTGCCAAAAGGCCAAAATCGTTTATGTTAAAGGGTACAGTTATATTGTCATCTGCGAAAGAGATTAGGATACGTTGTTTCCGGGCAAGAGAAGCATTTTCATCACAAGTGTCACAAACAAAAAGTTATTTGTCTTCGTTCAACAACTTCAAACTTCATTATCGCCGTGTCAACATCCTCAATGTAAATAAAATAAAATAAAAAAAAGCTCTATAACCAAATGGTTAAAAATTTAATATGGTTTCGAAGATATGTCTCTGGTTTCATTTATTGCATGAGTACTGGTTACTGGTTAGAGAAGACTAAGCAACATTTTAGAGCAATTTGAATTTTGCTTCAAGTTAGAAGAATAAACACACTCACGGGCTCGTTATTTACTACACTTATGCGGTCCTTACCCAGAAGTTCATAAAAAGCAATATTAGGAGGAACACCGACCAAAATATTACTTTTCACCGAGTTTTTTACTTAAATGTCACGCGAACATTGTTATTTTCCAATCTGTCACGGGGTCAAGTTCGCTACCCGGTATAACGAACTCGGTTTGCTGACGTGTCACATTTATAGTGAATAACAAGTACCAAGTTAAAAAAAAATAAAAAAATTTGAAGGTCGCTACATTGGGTAGCGAACTTGGTGTCCATTGGAAATGTGACACGTCAGCAAACCGAGTTTGCTATACCAGGTAGCGAACTTGCCCTCGTGGCAGATTAAAAAATAACACTGTTCGCGTGACATTTAGGTAAAAAACTTGGTGAATAGTGGCATTTTGGTCACTGTTCCATATTATGACTCCTTATCAAAGGACCTCGGTTCGAATCCCACCAACACCATCTGGGGAGAGGTATAAGTACCGTAATCCCTGGAATCGTACCCGAACTCTAGATTAGTCCCATAGGCGGCTCAAAGAGTCGAACCCGTGGGGATACTGTGAGTTCTGATTCGCCTCAAAGAGGTAATTAAGATCAGTTTTAAAAAAAAAAATTCAAAACTGAAAAACAGACCAAAATTTTTTAAAAAAAGAAAAAGAAAATTTTCTCATTATTTATGTTACAAGAATTTTACAAAGATATTCAAGGAGAAAAGAAATATATTGATCACTACAGTTTAACCTTCCGCTTACAATTCTGTTCTTCAATTGCCCGTGTAGAAATATTGAAAGTGGTGGTACAGTTCATTTTCACAACAATATGTTTCTTAAACAAGTTCAATATCTTCACACGCCCTGGAACTCTTGAGAAGCTGTTCATAGTCAACAAACCTGAACCAAGTTCTGTCGTCAAATCTGGACTTGACATGATGCGGTCTGTAATAACATCAACCGTGACATTCATCCTGATTGTTCTCCGTGCCTTGGCCCTACCTGGTGGTCCTCTAGCCTCTCCTACCATGATGCCATGGTAGTACAAAGTTGTGGTAGTGTTACTATACCTAAAGGATGCAACGTTGGGATTTTTAACCGATATATCTGCAATTAAGGACATGTTAACCCCAGGTTTAGGGGTTATGCTGTTGACAAGTTCGAGCTTTGTGACTTTGACACCATTCATTTTGATAATGGGGTCCTTAATACGAAATACAGTGAATATCAAAGCTATGATTACTATTGCTAGAAGAAGTAAAAAGGCTAATGGGCAAGCACACCTTTTGATGAATTTTCTACGACCGAGTTTTTGGAGGTGAAGAGTGGTCTCATCATCGTGGTCTCTCACTTGGGCTAGGGGTCTAACTTGCTCATTCTCCGCCATGGCTGGCTACGAAACTTGATTAATTCAGGAAGTTTTTTGGAAATTGAAAGTGTGTTTGTTTTGTTCTGCTTTGATCTAGCTATTTATCATTTATATGAAGTGTGAATGTGTGACTACGGGGTCTATGGAGGTAGCAGTGTGGCCCATTTTCCTCGTAGTTGGTTGACTTTATAGCAGTGAATGCAAGAAATTGTGGATTTATGTGCAAAAATTTCAATGTTTTGACTGACCTTTCCCAACCTCACGGTGGCTTTTGGTATATGATTTTTTTTTATCGAAAAAATATAATTATTAAGAAAATGGTAAAAAAATAAGTTTGATAGAAAAGTTTAAAAAAAAAGTATTTGATAGATCAAAATATTATCGAAAAAATTGGGTTAAATTTTTTAAGTCTATATTTTGTTGAAGGTAAAATATTGATGAAAAAATGACATAAAATTATCAAACTAACTCTTGACTAATTAAATACAAAGAGAGTACTCTCCCTCTCCAGCTTTCTTTTGAAACTTTTTTATTTTTTTAGAAAGAATATTTGTGTCCATTGTTTTTTTTTTTACTTTTTGGTTTGAAGAGGGTAACGAGGTGATATTCTGAAATGGCAAAATTTTTCAATTTTGCACACAAATTGAAATTGCTATACAAATCCCAATAATGGACAATTTTTTTAAAATCTCCTACCAATCATAGTCAACTAGGAAGCCATCTCAACTTTTCTAGATACCCAAAAAAAACTCCCCTACCAAACATCCCCTTCAATGTTTGGCTTTGATGTTATAAATTTTGTGCAAGTAATCCTATGGGTCACTAGAGAAAAATCTGAGCCTGAGCAAGATAGTATGTCAGTTTATAACTTACAAGGTATGTATTTGTGCTTCTTTTTTAATTTAATTCATACACATGTGATCCTTCTTTTTCTTTTTTTCTTTTTATCCTTTTGGCAACACGTGATATGCTCTATTTGTCAATAGTTTCTTTGAAAAATTATTTGTGATTTGTAAACAAATTTGGAGTAAAATCGTCGTAAAGAATTATCTAACGTCGGAAGAGCTCTTTAGATTTGTTCTAGTTAATTGATCCATTCAACAAAGCCCAATATCGTTAGCTTATGCCTAGAGCACTCTAGACGGCATCTTATGTTAAGATGCACTGTCCATGTCTACGGAGTTCAATCCTACCTATAAATACTCCCTTCTCCAACGAAGGAGATCATTATTCATTTCACTTTATATGAGTTGTTACTCTGCGAGTATAAATAACCATTGTAACTGTTTAAACACCCTCATCCTCCTGTTATACGATGACTAAGAAGTTCTAACAAAGCCTTAATTAGTTCATATCATAGCTACTAAGAGCGCTCTACATAATCCCCCCTTGAGGGATAAATATATGGTTCACTGTATATTAAACAGTTCAAGACTTGAATTGTGGATACTACACGTGACAAACAATTATTTTATCTAAAAGTTAAGTTATTAAGTAAAAATTATAAATAATTTTATATTATATCTTTTAACAATTATATAGTTAATATTCAGTTATATAATCTTATTAAATGAAAAATGAAACAGGTATCAGCGCATTAACAAAAGTTAATCTAGCGTTAGAAATTTAAGATACATGCATCTGGGGCGGCATACAGATATTCCTAAATCTTATTCATTTCGAACTTTATAGTAGAGAAGTCACATCAAAGTATACAAATAGTTAAGAGAGAATGTTACAAGGTGTGTGTATGAAAACATTAATCCCATAAAAAATATTTTTGTTGTTTTTGACCAATAGAATATAAACGCTGGTACGGTTTGTAAGATCCCCTTAATTTTATGTCATTGACGATTTACACCAGTCATTATCACGTTGCCTGCTCAAGTTAATTTGTAAGATCCTTGACTTTTTTAGTCTGAGTGAGCACACATTAATTTTTTTTTCTAGGTATTGTTGTATACAATATAAATTGGTAAAATTCCTATTTGCGCACGCCAATATTGAAATATGGAGAAGGAGCAAAAAGATAGTACATTATCTCATCACATGTTTTTTTATTTTAAATTGTTTTCTTTATTTGTTTAAAATAATTATTATATTAATATTCATATTTAAAAATTAGCATTAAGAATGAGTCCACTTTAAATTTGTGAGAGATTATAATTTTAATTAAATGGGTCTACTTTAAATTTCTTAAAGACCTTGGACTAATTTTTTTATAAAAGATTAAAGTAAGGACCATATTTTTTATTAAGGACTCAGAAAGACTTTACAGAAACTCTCATTTACTTTATAATGTGAAAAACACATTAACGGCGTAATAACTTTTTTGAAATTTATTATCCAGAGTAATAACTTTTTTAGAGATAAAATTATTCATTAATATATTGTAAAAAAGATGGTTGTTTACCAAAAAAAAAAAAAAAAAAAAAAAAGATGGTTATATTTAATTATTATTGGAATTTTTTACTACTCCTACTGCTAAATTAATCATCGTTGATTTCTGTCAAACTAACGATTATAATTTATTGAGTAATAATTAGAAATTATGAGTTGAGAGAGAAGTTTCAAAGATACTTGAAGTTTTGAAAGGTTAATAATATTTTAGGGGGAATGTTATACTTACAACCTATTTTCTTTTAGAACCTCTTACAACCAATATCTTAACCGTTGATTTCCGCCAATCAACGGTTAAGATTTATTGCGAATTAATAATTAATTAATAAATTTTATTTGCGAAAATCTTAACCGTTAATTATATTGGTGGTAAGATGTTGTAAAGGAAAATAGGTTGTAAGTATAACCTTTCCCATATTTTAGTACTCTTACTAAGAAATTAAGATTAATTATCGTTAATTTTCTTCAATTAAACACTTAGATTGATTAAGGACATAACGGTTAGAAAATTCAGTAATAAGGATAATGATTGGAAGTTATGAATTGAGAGAGAAGATTAAAGATACTTGAAGTTTTGGAAGGCTAATAATATTATCTCCCCTTGATTAGCTTAACCATAATCGTTTGTGAATATATTTAAATTAGGGGAATATTATTCTTATGTGACAGGAGAGAATTCTTCTCTCCTGCATTCACAACTTAGAGGAGAGAGGAGAGAGAATAGAGCTCACAACTTAGAGGAGAGAGGAGAGAGAATAGAGGAGAAAAAAAAATAGAGAGTAGACCCCACTCTTGATTTGTGAGTGGGTGAGAGAAGAATTCTCTCATGTGAGATGAGAGTAATATTTCTCTTTAAATTAATATGGTTTGAACAATGTTATTAATATAACCAACAAGACGTGATGGACGGTGCAATGATGGGAACTACTATTATACTAGGTTGAAATTCACATAAAAGGAAAACATGATGGAGGGTGCAATGCATTTATTTCCTTCTAAACATTATTCTGTTCTGGGACTAGGCGAACGTATTAGAAAGGGTTGGTAGCTTGACCTCTCCCTTATGAGAAAGGGGAATGGTGAAGTTGCCAATGACAGGAAGATCAATAACGAGACTTAGATCCAATTGATAGTCTATGTCCCAATCAGCCCCAATGTCCCTTGCCAAGCTCACCAATATGCTATAAGGCACCTTCACTGGCACATCCACCATAGTCTTGTCCTTAGACTTCAAGGATCCTGGGTCTGGTATTGTCCCTGATGCTATCTCCCTTTTACCATGCACCCAACACAATACATGATAAAGTTGAAATTTACATAGGAAAACAGCTAATCAAATTTTGTTCTTTAAAGTGCATTTACTATACATGCATTACTTAAAGTCTAAAGTACAAAAGACTATCACTTTTAGATCATGGAATTTCACCTATGCAAAAGGTAATAAATTCGAATTATGAGAATCACAAATCTTGAAAAGAGTGGACAGCACCAACCCAAAATCGATCGAATTAGTTGACACTGATTGGTATTAAAAAAAAATATACAAAGCACTTTTAATTTGTCTCATGTATACTTTACTTTATAAAAAAATATATGTGATTTAAACCTATAAGTACTTATTATAAATGAAACGTTCTAATAATTACAAATTACTAGGTAGATGAATTTAAAAGAAGAAATTCTCTTTCAAAAACTTGAATTGATTTTTTCTTTTTGAGTAAAAACCCTGACAATATCTACGAAATCCTTTTTAGTCCCTGACAATAAAAAAGGATCAAATTAGTCCCTAAAATTATGAAAAAAGGGTCACATTGGTCCTTATGTCAACTCCTCCATCACAAACGTAGCCTTTTTTACATACTGGTAGGGACCAATTTAAAACTTTTTTATTATCAGGGATTAAAAAAGATTTCGTAGATATTGTCAGGGACCAAAAATGGTGTTTAATCTTTCTTTTTTAAATGTTTTTAATAAACGCAAACAAAACTAACAAAAAAAAATTAAGAAGGAAGGTTCACCTGGATGCGCTTTTGAAAGAGTACTTGATCTCGCATATTGGAATTGAAGTTGAATAAGGATTATCAACAGAGACCTTTGCCAAGTACTCGATGCTATCCTTGCTCACGCGCTTGAAGTCAACGTCGGTGACACTCGCCTCAGGCTTGGCCACGTCGTTGATCTTCTCCGACACAAAGTTCTTAGCTTTATCCAGTAACTGCGACATTTTCAATCTGCGATGAACACCGATGGACACCTTACGTTTATGGCAACAGAACCCTGTCCTAGTATACTAATACGAGGTTCCTGCTCATTACACGTATACGTCGTCGTTCTTCCACACCCGACACGTGATGCATACGTGTCCAACATTTTCAACTAGAACTGTACTGTACCATGCACTTCCCTACAGATTTTTATTGACTTTTTCTTTTCAGCTAAAATTAGTTTTACCTTTTTTTAACATTTCTATTTTTTTGTTAAATTAATACAATTTTTCGGAAAATGACTCTCTCTTTTTTTTTTGTACGACCCTTTGATTTCTCGGCAATATTGGATTTGTCAGGTATGTCAAAGAGTCCACGGCGCGGAAAATTATTATTCATGGGCTAATGAGCTATACCACATCACAAACCCAAAATATTGGACACAAGTTTTTCTTTTTGTTTGCTGATACGATATGATTAGTCTTAGGGATTAATATTTATTGAGATAATTTTATTTCATAATACAAACATATAAAAGTAAACAGAGGCTCATATTTTTTTTCTCTCTCCTCGTCATATGATCCCACATGAAACCCATATATTATAATGTGTGTATATAAGATAAAAGTATTTTCTATGACAAGAGAAACATTAATATCTGTATAATATAATATAAAATTACGAGAAATGATATATTTACATCTTATTTTCGTTTACAATCTCTTACCATCATATCTTAACCATTGATTCCCGTCAATCTGATGGTTATAATTTATTGGGAATTAATAATTAATTAATAAATATGACCAAATAAGTTGTAACTATTAAATTAATCAAAATTAACGGTTAAGATGTAGTTGTAACAGATTATAAACAAAAATAAATTATAAGTATAACCTTCCTCTAAAATTATTTATATATCTCCACTCAATAATTTAAGTGTTACAAAGTTGGTTGGCGCACCATCAAAATCCAGTACTAAGTTCGATTAGTTGAACTGAATATAACATATCGAGTTAGAGCTTAGAGTTTGAGAGAGAAAAATTTAATATCAAAAGGTATTAAATTTAAAATGCTCAACAATATTACCTTTAATTTTAAAAAAAATCTTAAAATTAATGCAAGTTATTGAGTTTTAAGCGGTATAGACCCAAATAACTATACTCTCATCGGGGGGCTTATATGTGAACATAGGATTCTATTATCAATATATTTCCAACATATCCCAGCTTTCACAATCTCATCATGAAATCCAGCAAGAATAAGTAACTTAATTCGGAAAGTTAATCGGACAAAAGTTTTATTACATGAACGTACGTGATCAACCATACCGGTATAGATTCATATACACAAAAGTTGACACTTAAACCAGTTACAGTATATTGTATATCTCAATCACATTAATTAATTAGAAAGCCAAGAGCGTAAATATAAGTCAACTTGTGTGCTTGATGGAGATTACATATATGTAAGTGAATGCATGTAAGCTGCATGCATGCATGCATAGTAGAGAAGCAGGGTCACCGTTATTAGAATCTAGAGAGAAACTGCATTTGCTTCAGAAGAGGCGTTAGGGTTTCCATAAGCTTCTCGCATGGGTGGTTGTGAATTCCCTCGTAAGTTGTCACCACGATGCTTGTGTCTTTGGATAACCTTTGCACCTGTTTCTTTACATTGCATGTGTGATGCGTGCAGCGGTAGTAGCTTCTTTATTGCCCATGTTCGTTATGCAAATGAGAGTAAGCACCAAATCATCAATTATCAATTATATCAATTATCGAGTCACTAACAAATTAATTCAGTATTCTTTAGCTTTTCACCAATAACCTCAAATTAATTGTTGCACTTTCAAAACAAGACAAAGAATCCAAGCATTCGCATATAATCTGTTATATATAGTGTTTTCTTAAGAGATTGATGAATTGATCTTAATTTGTATAATTCTTATTAAATGTGTCTCTATAATTGTGAAATACTTAATAGACAATTATTTGGCTCGACGAAATCTAAACTTTTTTGTTGTATTCTCATCTATTGCTAACGGATTAAGATGGCGTGAAAATGTTTTTTTAGTTGAGGTTTAACCAAAATTAGGTTGCTGCTGGTCAGAAGACAAAGATAGGTCTAATAAAAATACTCCATTTTTCCTGTTTTTAGTTATTCGAGTTATACATAAAATATCAAAACTTGAATATTTTAAAACTTTAGGGTTTATATATTTACATGGAAAGTAGATAGATATGCTGCGACCCCAACGATAACATCTCTTTATTTGATTGATATTCATTTATATAGTACCTTTTTTTTGGGTAAAACATTTATATAGTACTTTACCAAAGAAAATTTGTAATGTAAAATAAGATTTCAGATTAAAATATAGTCTACAGTGTCTTCACTTTTTCCTTTCTGCCATTTTTTTCTTGAAAAAACAATATCGTGCTTTACTAATTAAAGCAAACAAGTGTTAATTTTTTTTTATCATTAGATACTGGAAATAAATTTATGTATATATGTATGAGAATATATATTATATGATCTTATGTTGAAGTCAAAATTAAATTTGAACTTATAAATAATTATTAGTGTTAGAGAGAATAATTGTTTCAGAAGGTGAAAATTCGGGGTTTCCTAGATGACATTAAATGAAAATAAATATAAACATTTAGTACTCCTCTTGGTATATGGATATGACTTCGTCATTTACTTTTTTGTTCTCCTAAACCCCGGGTCTCCCTTCTTTTTCACATGTATATATTCAATCTTCTAATTAATATTGTTAAAAGTATAACCAATAGGAAAATGAAATGCTGATATTTTTGTTTTAAGTTTGAAGGTTATGTAAATAATTCATATAAAATAACATATAATACTTACGAAAATAAAAATATATTAATATTTTTAGAAAAAAATTAATTATTAATTAGTTCAATCAGTAAATTAAGTGTTCGCTTATTTGTTTCTTTGAACAAACTTTTTCAATTAAAAAATATATTATAGTTATTAAATAAATTTTTCCAAAAAGAAAAAACATTAAAAATATTATTTTAGTAAGTAAAAAAATAGCTTAAAGTTTTTTTTAAACAAAAAAATCATTAAGGCATTTTTTTAGACTTACTTAAATGTACCCTAAATTGGCTAATACATCTGAGTTTTATCTAATTCTCATTCATTTAAGGTAGTTTGATAAAGTTCAATCCAATTTGAAGAGGCTAATTGAAGTGCTTGTAAGTTCAAACTTCTAACCAACGAAAATTGGTAACCCCATTTGAAGCTTCAAAAAAGTGCAACTTTTTTACACATACAAATGACTCCTCATATTGATCATGTTAATTTTCATTTTTCAGTGTAATCAAACACCTGATGTCTCTTCACCAAAAACACATCAATCATTTCCTCTCTTTTTTTTTTTTTTTCCCCCTTTGACCTAATCAAATATTCATGTATGCATTGAATGTCAAAGAAAGGCAATTACGTTTATTTTTACACACCTGGGATATATGCTGTTCTTCACAGCTTTCTGTCCATATTTCCTCCAACGGTAACCATCATCAAGAATATCATCTTCACTTCTTGTCTGAAACGCAAACCTTGGTCTCGTTGTCTTCTTCTTTCTACCTCCTTTTCGTTTCTCCTTATTGTCCTTCTCCTCCACAACATGAGCCCCTTTTTCAGCCATCAAAGAACACGATGAAGACAAAGAAGAAGAAGAAGTAGAAGAAGAAGCGCAATCCATCTTTGCTTTGGTATCTCCAAGCAAGTTGTTTTGGGTAGAGAAAAGGTTAGCCCAATCAATGTCATCATCATGAAGGCCTTGAGGGTCCAAAGGGTTTTGCATCATCGATGAGGGAGTGAAGAGGAAGAGAGGAGAGTTTTGTGGAGGCAACAACAATGACGGTGGTGAAGGGTTTGGTAGGTCTTGGCTTTCCATTAGGTCTTAGAATGGAATTGAGACTGAAGAGAAAATGAGAGTAATTTAGGGTTGAAATTTATAAAAGGAGAAAGATGGTGGAAGGTAGAAGAGGTTGGGCAGCCACTCACACACGCATATTCTAAATGAGACTGAGAGCATGCATTGGTGATAACGAAGATGCATGTAGGTCACGTCTCCTTTGTGACATAGCATGTACTTAAAAAGCAGTTGAACAGAAGTAGTTGAAATTTAGCTTGCTTTGGTATATTATATATAGGTTACCTTCTTCTCATTTGACATGACAAGAGCACTTTCCTACACACACAAATCAAGTGTGGGTCCCACGCTTAAAAAAAAAAAAAGTCAGACCAAAGTCAGGATACGACGCCGTATCCTTGTTGGAGGAATGAACAGTGCCATTCCTGCAACATGATTGTTATATTTCCCATTATATATATAGGAAAAGTGTTTATCCTTTTAAATGATACAATTTATATCCTTTCACTCTTACAAAGAGATGAGACTCATACCTTTATTTTTTTTATCAACTCTTTCTCCTCCTTTATCTATCTCTTTCTCTTTCTTAAAATGACACAACTTTACATCTTTTAAAATGACACACACTTTACCCATTATATATAGGAAACTGTCCAAAATAGTAGAGACTAGTGTTTTATTTATTTATTTTTCCTTTGTTTTTTGGTGGAAATATAGAGAATCTTTAATTTCTAAATTTAGCTCTTTTTTTTGGGAAGTAATTTTTTTCATCCCATTGAATTAAAATTCAAATATTTTTTTAAAATATTATAGTGAAACGTACACCTGGTGCACAATTTGAATGTGCAGATCCTATATAGGTTTTTGAATTATTTTGGGGTTTAATATTTTTTTATGTTAATAGGAGATAAATTTATATGTTACACACATATAAAATATGTGAGATCCATGGAAAGAGAAGAGCGAGAAAGAAAAATCATGGATTCTACAAATTTTTATATTTGTGTAGGAGATAAATTTATCTCCTATAATATTTTGAGAAAATATTTATTTATTTTTTGTTTGCTTTTTGACGAAATATTTAAAATTTGAATTAATTGTGTAAATGTTTCCTGTCTCACATTACTATGGTGAAAAGGCCTTTTTTTTTTTATATCTAAGCATCTCACTGTTTTAACTTGCCTTAGGACACAAGGATTCTACCATCAATTAATAACACATGTTGAAAAAATGTTCTGTTTACCAACCGGTAGAACATAGGTTTGATCAATTGCATGCTCTTTGACGCTTTCGATATTTCATTTTAAAAACTTGATGTGTGTTATGTCACATTATTTACTAGGAAAATCAAATTTTTATACCTTTTTACGCAAATTTTGAATCAACGTATAATGTTCGATTAAATTTGATTAATTTAACCGATAGAAAATGGGTGTGAAAATTTCGAAGGTTCTGCATTTACTCCTAAAATTGTGATACAATGTTTTAGAGCGTAACAAAACTGAATCTTTATATGAATCGCTGAACAAAACACAAAGGAAAAACAATGGTGTTTGCATCTATCATGTCACATAACACACAAAAAATTTCTACACACACAATATTTTGTGGGCCCCGCACTTTTAAAAAAAAAAAAAAAAACTAAAGCACGCAAAACGAATCTCTATAATATTACACAATCAATTTTCCTACAACATAATTCTTATAAAACCCAAAAACAATTCCATACACGGACAAACTATATTTTAAAGAAATGTTTAATGTCTCTTATATTGTAGGAGATGAAATCATCTCGTATACAAACATAAGAGTATATGAAATTAATATTTTCTTTTTCTCTCTTTTCTTTTAACATGAGCCCATATAGACTCCACAAACTTTTATAAATATATAATAAATAATTTTATCTCCTATAACATAAAAAATATGAAATCTATTGAAGAATTGTTTACCTTACACAAAACTATTTTCATGATTATTTAAGGGTAGAGTAACGATAGACTCATACGTAGATAAGCATAAATATAAAACTCTAGTATGCTTTACTGCCTTAATCTCTTATATCCGGACATGGCATTCTTTTGAAAAAATGCATGTGAGACACCGACATGACATACAGTCAACATTTTAGAACACGTGGTCAACTCTCTGACATGCTCTGACACGTTTTTTCGACACGCAATCAACTTTTTCCGACACGTATTCAACACTCTGACATATTTTTTTTTAGTCTTAATATTTTTATTAACTAAAAATAAAATAAAAAATTGTTTATAAATCAATTTTTTTCTGTTACGAAATTTGACATGAAAAATTAACAAGATACGATTTTTTTTTTATTTATGTTACAAAATTTGAATATTTGATTGATTATATTATATGACTTATTATAGACTATTATATGTATTAAATATAAACTATATTATATATATTAAAAATATTATTTAATATCAAAATGTGTCCCAACATGTCAAAATATATCATTTTTTAGAATTAACATATCGACGTATCGAGTCGTGTCCCGTGTCACTACATCATAGGCATTAATACCAATAGAGTTGTACGTATAAGATTTATGTCAATGCTTTCATGTACAATTCGCAAACAATTCACTCTCCACATAATTATAAACTTTTTGTTTCTCTATTTTCTAGCTATACAAATTACCTTTTTTATTTTTAAGAAGCTAGTTTCTAGTAAATAACACCATATCCTTTCACAAAATATTTTTAATTAAAATTTTTATCAAAATATAATTAGCGGTGAAGGTAGCCAGTACAACTCTTCAAGACCAAAGAAATGGGAAAAGGTCCTTGGCAAGACAGGAGAAAAATGTTACGTTGGACTCCAAAACAAGACTAGTTGGTGAACTGACAAAATAGACATCCAAACAGTGACAATATCAACAAAATTGGGTTACGTATTCTCAACGTCACAGTCACCAAGGCAAATTATTTATTACAGTACAACTAGGAAAAAATAGAGATGAAAGTAAAAAAAAAGTTTTTGAACAATAGGCTTCCAGCATCCATTAAATCATACATAAGCCCCCAAAATTAGAGATGTCACATTGAACTTTAAATCGAAACCTTCTGCTGTGAGTAGAAACCTTGATCTTCTTGTAAGGTTCTCCAGAGTCATTCTATGAACTAATTTGCAATAATTTTAATTAAACAACTGTGCTTCACTGTCATCAGCTAATGATCATCTTGTTAAGAAACTCAGCTTGCTCGGGAAAATACTCTATCAATTCATCCTTCGTCACCCAAACAAAATCCTCACATTTTTCAATGCTGTACTTGTTTTTAGCAATCACTTGTGACTTGAAGAAGAATCTCTGACAGAAGATTTCAGCAAAGGAAAGGATGACAAAATATAATCAATTTCCACATGGACAATTAAGACATTAGAATTGAAAAGGCTAGTTTTGGAATCATGTGGTAAAACCAAAAAAGCAAAGGCATACGAAGGCACTTCCAGAAAACGCAAACAGATACTGATATAAATAAACATATTGAAAGATGTCAACCTTCCAATACTAGACAAGAAGTACCATAAAATTTCCTGTAAATATACCTTGAAAGATGTGGATCCAGACATGTCTTCTGTAGGCTGAACAACCATGTGGGCCATTGGAGCATTTCCAACAAAATATGTATTAGAAAGATCTCCTAAAACTGATTTCAGTGCGGATTCTGCACACTGCAAAATTTCAAAAATTAGGAGGAAAAAGAAGATAACGAAATAAAAGAGGAAAGCCATGTAAAAATGTTCACCTTGCGCATGGTATCCTCTGATTCATAAACTTTCTCTGGAAAATGCCACAGAGGCTTCCCGCTTGGAGCCCCATATGCATTACCATAGAGAAGAAGGTAGAGTCTTCTGTCAAGAGCTCTTTGTAATGAGCTAATGAGGCAAGTAGTAAGATAATATGCAGTCACACAACAATTAAATCTGAAGCAAAATTCAGCTCTAAAAAAATAAAAATAAAAATAAAATAAACAAGAGTAAGCAAATGGCCTAAACAAGTTTCTAGTCTCCCAAAAGCATTCAATTTATATTAGCTATGACTCTGTTACCTCAGTCGCAGGACTAAGATTGGCCTACCCTGCCCTCGTATAAGTGTATTTCTCAGTTAGAACTAATAACAGCGCGATATTACATTACTAAGAAGGCTTTTTTAAGACTGAAGGTGCATTAAGAATACAACTTAAATATCCGTATGGCACGATTGCATCAGTATTATATAATCACCAATTACTCAAAGCTAAACTCATTCAATCACCACTAAAGCATGTAAGGGAGTAAAAAAGAGAAACTAAATGACCCTTGATATGAATATCCATAACTAAACACCACGTCCAAGAAAATGTACACTTCCCCATTCCAAAGAAAGATGAGGACAATATAAGAACCAAGTTGATATTATATTGGAGAAATCATAAGTATTTGACATGATGGCATCTCTTAGATAGCATTCATTTTCCTTCATATATTCCAAAAATCAAAAGAAAACAATTTGTTACCGTAAATTACACAAGTGATCAGTCTACTCAAATTGGTGCATACCTTCGATCATTGTTTTTGTCAGCTTCGGTGACTCGTGGGGCTGGCACATAGTCAATCTGATAATCACCTTTCCCCCTGGTAGTACATAATTTTCACATAACTCTAGATGAAAACAAGGATCTATCTGTATTTTGCCATTTGTGTTATCTCTTAAACAGACAGATGCATGCATGTGGGAAATGAGAATGAGAGAAAGAGATGAAAATAATATCAAACATTTTTATCATTGCACTTTAATGAAGCCAGTGAGTGGAATCTAGCAAAAACAATGTAGAGATGCACACTTTTTAATGGTAACATTAATTTTAAGGGTTAGTAAGAGAAAGAGTTCATAAATATCTATAGTGAACTGTTTTGTAAAAAATCAGTTTCACAAATTCCTTTTTCACTGCCTGTTTCTTTCTTTTCCATTATTTTCATTCTTAATTTTATTTTTCATCTTTTCAACTCTCTTGAAGCTTACTAATATAATCTGTCTATACTAATATACTATTTTGAAGCTTATAATATACTCTAACTTTCAAACTAATAACAAAAAAATTTAAAGTATGACCTCCTATTGAGTGCTTATACCTTGCCTCAGATTTGTCTAGAAATTCATCAGGATATCTGCGTTGATATTGTTGTCGCCATCGAAATCTAACCATCCAAACCCGGAAAAAAAAGTTACTATAACAAGAACAACAACCACAATATCAGCAAGAGAATGGAACAGACAACAGAGCATATGAAAAAAATTACAATCAGTGCTAAAATGGGTTCTTCAAGTTTACTAAACAAACCACAGCATAATCATCTGACCAAGAAATTTTAACAGCAAATCCTCATGTCCTTGATCTCATTTTTCCATCTTAAAAATCAGAAGAGGAAGAAAGCAGTGATATTCGATATCATATATTACTCTCTTTTTCTAATAAATTCATATAAATTGGGAGGCTTGGCATATCGGTTGGTGTTATTCCCAGGTGACCTAGAGATCACAAGTTCGAATGATGTAATCAGCCTCTTGCAAATGTAAGGTATGGCTTGCCTACTATAGACCCATACAATGGGTAAGACCCGTCCCTGGACCCTGTTTAGAGCTTTGTACAACCACGTTGCCATTTTTATAATCTAGGCAACTGTGAACCAGAAGACAACCTTAGTTTGCAAAAACACTAAAAATAATGATAGCTGCTAGCAGGATGCTTCATCCAGCAACTAGTTTGCAAATCACCGAATACACACAAACTAAGTGAGTCTTAAGTTCAACACTTTAGTTTGACCATCCTTTCCTTCTCTACATTCCTCCAGCAGCAGCACACCATTTTCCTTAAAAACTGGATTATTTTCTCCCACAACGATAAATCCAAACATTTTATATTAATTTGACAAAAAAATTTAATATTAAAGCAGAGCACAATATCAAAGTCAACGAAAGTAGAGAGAAAGACATACGAGAATTCTTGAAATGCATAAACCACAGGGTCAATTTTGGGGATGACCACTGGGAGTCTCTCAAAGAGCACAGACGCAACAATTTTCTCAGAACTTGTGCTGAATCCTCGCCTTGTCAAGAGCAAAGGCCGAATCAATGACATCTTCATCCTGATTATATGCAAAAACATCAGATACACAAAAAGAAGCAAACAAATACAAGGAGAGTGTGTGTGTGAGAGAGAGAGCAATGGATCCTGCTTTCCTTTCCATTATAAAAATTGAGAATAAAAAACATTTTCTATTCTCAATTTTCTGTTTCTCATTTTCATGATTTCGTTACAATTTTTTTATTACTCTGCAGAAAATTATGAAAATCAAATACACAATAAGGTTCTGCTTTCATAGGTTTGACAAGCATACATTTAACTAAAGGATTGATGCGCCATAACATTCAGTCATAGGAAGAAGTACTTCTGACATTCCTCCAGTATTATTCATATAAATGCAACTTTCAACCATTCAAAACACACAAAATCGTGATAACACAACTAAATTGCCTCTGTAGAAAGAAGGTGCAATCAACCAAAATGGTTATAGGATAAGGAGAAAGAAAAGACCTTTCTTACCTTTGACGAAAATGGAAGAGTGTCACCTTCAATTCGCCACCAAAAATGAGATTTTAGGTGTTGCAGTGAAGCGAACTGGAGAAGTGACGAGGGTTTGGGAGACCAAAGAGAAAACGCAAGAACGACGACGTTTTGCATAACTTTTAATTTTTTTGTCAAAAGAAAATAAGAGAATAACATCTCTCATTTTAAAGGATATAAACTTACTTTTTTGACCCTTTTGCCCCTAATTAAATAATTAATAACCAATTTGCCCCTCCCCCAGAACTATCCACCATCCTGCCCCCATTTAGTCGATTAAGTTGCACTTTTAATCGACTAAATGGGCTAAACTCAGAAATTATGAAACGCGAATTTTAGTCGACTAAAAACTCACCTTAATCGACTAAATTGTTTGCACTTTTAGTCGACTAAGAACATTATTTAGTCGACTAAATGTCGCAGATCAGATTTTTTAAAAACCCCCCATTTCGCAAAGGGGGTTATTTTCAAACCCTAATCGACTAAATCGCTCCATTTCGTCCCCTCTCTCCAACCAAGTCCGAATCTCAACCCTTGAAGGTGCGATTGAATCTCAACCTGGGAACTCAAGTTTCCTGAACTAGTATCAGCGTCAAAATTTCCCTCTACGTCCGTATCTGAGGTGTCACTCAGCGGAATAACACTCTCGGGTTCACCATCGTCTTCACTGTCCATATCCTCGTCATGCTCATCCTCATCCTCGTCTATTTTCCTCAGTGGTATCTGACTTAAGACAGGTGCAGGTGCAGATAAACCGACCACTCTGTCTTCTTGACTTTGACTTCTTCCATGCGCAGGTGCAGATGAAGATTGACCACAGTCTATTTCAACATATATCTCAATAAAGTTTTGAAATTTTCGGTCCACAATTGCATCTATGACACAATCCACATCTTCATCGTCACATATATCATTACCAATGTAGAATATAGCATCCTTACCAACTGTAGACTCTACCCTGGCGATCATCCGTTGAACGCCATGGCTGCCGTGTAGCCCCAATTTTTGGTTAATCCTCGTCTTCAGCTCATTGTACGTAGTGCCCCGTTTGATTTTCAACATTTTCGTTTTTCCTTCAAATTGAACACCGTTGGGGCCTTCATAATGCTTTCCATCATAGTAAATCATGGTAACATACATGTTTGGACTTGAGCTCATCTTTCACACGAATTTTGGGGGTAGGAATCAGATTTTAGGGGTTAGGGTTCGGATTTGGGGGAAACAATTGAGAAATAAAGGAAAATGACAATGATTTCACAATTACTATGCCTTAGAGGTGGTGGGATGAAATGGAAGGGTGATTGGAAGGTTCACAGCTGACAAACAAGAGAAAGAGACCAAGAGAGGAGTTTTGATTTCGAATATAATGAAAATGAGACCAAGAGAGGTCTGGATATAGGGTTTTTCGCGATCTTTAGTCGACTAAATAATGTTCTTAGTCGACTAAAAGTGCAAACAATTTAGTCGATTAAGGTGAGTTTTTAGTCGACTAAAATTCGCGTTTCATAATTTCTGAGTTTAGCCCATTTAATCGATTAAAAGTGCAACTTAATCGACTAAATGGGGGCAGGACGGTGGATAGTTCTGGGGGAGGGGCAAATTGGTTATTAATTATTTAATTAGGGGCAAAAGGGTTAAAAAGCCTATAAACTTATATCATTTTAGATTCTAACCTTTAATTTTCGTTCATCAACGGTTATAATTTATTGGATCAAAATTATTAATTAATTAATAATAAATTTGGCCCATTAGGTTTGGCTCAATAAATTATAACCATTGATGAACGGAAATCAACAATTTGAATCTAAAATGGTATAAACTTATATTCTTTAAAATAATAGATATTTTTCCCTTTTTTTGTCAAAAGAAAATAATTTAAAGTTGTTAAAAATTAAGCGCGTGCATTTTTGTAAGAGCTGCCGAGAACTGGACATGGGATGGGAGAGGCCATTTCCAGTGAGATATATTCCATTCGAACTAATCAATTAATGAATAAATATATTTAAAATCAAGGGTGTGTAATTTTTTTTTTCAAAAAATATTTTTATTAAATATTGTCTCTTTTTTCATAAACTACTATTTATAGTTCTTTAAAAAAATAACTTATCTCAAGTATATGAAAAATTAATGGGTTCGTTTTTTCTGCAGTTACTGCAGATAAGTTAGCTGCAGTAAGCCTAATACGACGTCGTTTTGAGACAGAAATCATGGTGTTTTTCTAATTTCAATTTATTTCAGGGTTATAATAGTCTTTATATTTATAATTTTTTAACATTTCAACACCAAAATGACGTCGTTTTGTGAATAAATGCAGATAATTTATTTGAATTAACTGCAGAAATATTTTTCCCAAAATTTATAGATAGAGATATTCTTAAAATAAAGGAGAAATAAGCTGGAAACTTGTTCCACACTAATAGATTTCAGGGTTTTAAGCTCGTGATGTTCAAATTATTGACTAAGTATAGAATAAATATGTGAAACTGTGTTAGTGTATATTATACCACTCTAACAAACCAACAATCATCTAATATATTACCCAACACTCCTTAGGAGTGTGTGGTGGAACACTAAGTGGAACTAATTTCAAGATCTAAGAGTTTACCTTTTGTAGGCTTTCATCTTACTTTCTTTGTGTTCAAGAAGCCAAAATCACCAATTCCACACTAATCCAACATATACCAAATATGTGAGTTCAATCAATAATATATATATATATATATATATAGGGGAAGAATCCATTTACAATTTTTTTTTTTTTACAAATTACATTAAGTATGACCGATCATGCACTCTTGATTGAAGTATGATTGGTCAAACTTAGTGTAGTTTGTAAACAAAAAATTTATAAATATAACCTTATATATATATATATATATATATATATATATATATATATATTCTGTAGCCATCAGTAAGCTAATAAATAATTTTAGATAACCCTAGTATTTCATGACATTCAATATTACATGTTTTAAATATAATAATATTTAGCATTGTTCACATATAACTATTCATTGTTCATCGTCAGTTGTGTAACATCCCGAGCGCTGACGAGGGCGGGGAGTGATCGTCGGTGCGCACGGACACGGACAAAGAGCGGCTCCTGGCAGGCTTCCAGCAGCAGGGGTACATGAATGAATCGAATAACACCGAAAAGAGAGGGATTCCAGAGATTGTGCTGGTATAGGAAAGCACAACTAAGGATAGCTTATAAGAATTAATTGGTACTACCTATACTAACAAGAAGCATCTACTTTTCGGTAGCCCGGATCGAAAGAACTCCATAGTTAAGCGTGCTTGACTTGGAGAAATTTTGGGATGGGTGACCTCCTGGAAAGTTTTCCCGGGAAATGTGCGAGTGAGGACAAAGCACGCTGAAAAGTCTCGTGTTAGTATAGGTGGCAAATGTTAGTATATAGATGTGCTAGAGACAATCTTTTGATTAGATTAGGACATATGTAGACCTTTTATATTGTCGCAAATAAAAGCACTATTTATCCTGTTTCATTTTTTGTCTCAATATTACTATTAATATTTATATGAGTAACTGGATAAACCCCTTGGAATAAAATAGATATCTCTTGAGTATCTGTGATGAGATCACGATCATGAGGATTCAAGGATACTGCATGTTTATTCCTAATTTTATGTTCCTAGTCTAGAGACATTGAGAATGGGGATCAGTGATCTCGGGTAAGACTATCACGACTTATCTACTTGTATTTGGATGCAAGGTAAAGACCTCATAAGCTACAGATATGGAGATGTCTTAGCTAAAGTCGTGGGTGGACCTATAAGGGTATAGCTCGCACTGAACAGACCAACAAAGAGACTCTATGAGGAACTCTCACAGAGAGTATCATTAGAGTAGTCTCTTTATATTTGGGTATGTCTTTCCTAAGACCAGAAGTTATTACTGTGTTCTAGAAGGCATGCTTTGATTGTGCACCTCGTATTCCTGAAACATAGAGACTCATAGGTATACTGTTGGGCTTGTCCTGAAAGAACACAGGGCTAGGGTGATAAGCTGAAGGAATTCGTCAAATCTCTGTGAGGGATTAGGTTATCTGTAAACCGGAGAAATCGGGATGACATTTACAGGGACTCATGAATCTATGCATAGTAAAAGAGATCATGAGATGATCTGCCTTTAGAGTTTGTAAATTGAAGATTCCCTATTTTGAATAAAGCTTACCCTAAACCGCAGGGGTTGATACGCTTCCTTACCCTAGGTTTTATGGGAAGGTAACCGAGACGAAAGGAAATATATACGGCAACCAAATATGTGTAATAGGATGATCAAGTCATTAATCTAACTAGTTCTGGGGCAACAAAGCATTGCTAGTGCTCTGTGTTGTCATTAGATGAGTTGTGGGTTTATTGAGCCCAATCCCATTTATGTCAGTGGCTATGTTGGACCTAATGGGTCACACACTAACACCTAATTGTTTAGATGCTCTAGCATTAAAGGTATTGGGTCTAACAATTGTTATTAGCCCAAGAAGTAGTTTGGAACTCCACAGAGAGGGTGGAGGGCGCATGGATCAAAGTAATGGGCTTGGATAGTCCAAGACATTACTAATTAATTTAATTAGTTAAATTAATTATCAAATGTTTAAATTTTGAATTTTGAATTTGAAATTTGAATTTTGAATTTGAATTTTGAAATTCGAATTTTGAATTTTGAAATTTGAAATTTGAAATTTGAATTTGAATTTTGAATTTTGAAATTTGAATTTTGAAATTGAATTTAGAATTTGAATTTGAATTTAAAATTTAAGTGTTTGAAAGTTTGAATTCAAATGTTTGAAATTCGAATTTGAATTGGCTATGAAAAGTTGTTTCATAACAAAAGGATAAGATGAGATCTTGTTTGAACATATCAGGAGGAGATCTTTTGGACATAATCCAAGGATAATGGGGCACTGATTTTGGCTAGATTTGATCATCAAAATCAGCTCCAGAAGATACGGTCTGTTGGGAGAATATTTGAGTGAGTTGATTTAAGTTTGAAATGCAACTAACTCAAATGTATCTGGTCACCTTTTAGGCTATATGGG